TGCCGACTTATTTTCTGTGCGACGATACGCGGGGGTGGAAATGATCGCGCGAAACAGAACGCGTCCTCGTACAATGGCAACACCTCCAGCGGTGGAACGAGGCAGAAAGAGAGAAGTCTCGACGACGATGCACCGAGGGCGCATGTGTGCACCCGGATGCACCCCCGACGCGCATACGAAGACGCCTCAAGGCGCGTCCCCAACGAGCGAGGAGTTCTTGGACTCGGCGCAATACTCCGCGTCGTCCTCCGAGGACCTCGGGAAAATCCGAGGGAGGAAATTTACATTTTCTTGGCGAAGTCCGGGCCCGCGAAAACCGCCCGCCTGCGCCCATAGGGCGCCATGGTGGCTGCCCATATTGATTCACCGCTGGCATAACACCCGACATTAAAATTCCGCCATATTTACTTTGCAAATCGCGACCGCCGCCCTCGGGAGGACGAATGCGACGCGAATTGCAGTCCGCAGCCGAGAAGGGGTGGCAGCCCTGCAGGTGACGCGAAAGCGCAGGTGAGCTTAAGGCCCGAGTTTGATGCCGCGGTTTTGGGACACCCTCCTCCTCGGTTTCCTGGCATCTCTGGTTCAGCTAAAGATCGCACTTCCTTCGCTCTCCCTAGTATATAAATTATGAGATTAACGGTACGATTCTTTTCCTCGGGGCGCGAGGAAGTTCCGCCCGGTCGTAAGTAGAGAGTGCAGTTGCTCCTCCGGACGTAAATTGTAAATGTCAGCCTGTTAATCAAGCACCTCTGGAATCGCGGAAGTAATTACACGCCGGGGCTCCGAGTTGTTTGCCACGTCGACTTTGCACGCGTTATCGGCGTGCACGGGGTGGCGTAAAGAAACTCGGGGGCGGGTGATGCGATATCTGATACGCAGCCAGTCGGCCGAGTGTCTCGCGAGTTGGGCAACTTTGATTATTTATAAATAGTACACGACCTCGCGGGGGATGTTTACAAAAATTCACGGTCGAGAGCGCCTCCTCGGGGACGCGTAGAAAAATCGGGGTAGTATTTCGAGGGTTCTTTCCGTGGAATAATAAATACGAAGCGGAGTCGAGCGCGTTAGAAGGGGTGGCGGATATACCGGTTCTTCGGCCCGAAGAGCGCCACCCTCGTTTTTACTCGATTGGGCGAATTGCAGGGAGAAACTCGGCTCCGATCGGGCTCATAACTCTCAGGTGCTCGATGAGGGCACCCTTTAATCAGCTCAAAGGTGGAATAGGCGCGATTAATTATTTACCCCCATAGTCGAGGGTGGGTCTTGCCTCCTCGGCTCTCTTCCACCTCCGCGAAACAGACTCGAAGAGCCCTTCGCGATGCTTACCTTTTCGAGATCGGAGGTCGAGGGTGGAGGGAGGGGGTGGATTCGCGAGAGAATTCTCACGGCTACCTGGGAACTCGGAGTTCGCTACTTTCGCCGTATCGGGATCGAGGCTTAAGGGCTCCCTGAGGGAACGACGGCGAACGAGCCCCCTCCTCGCCCTCCAGACTTCCCTCCGCGAGTTCGAGGGCGTATCTTTAAAATGCAGACCGAATTAAAGCCGCGGAACGGCGGCTGCGAGATTTGCACCCCGACGACCCCGATATCAATCCATATGCAAGAGTCGCGACGCCGAAGAGTCCCAAGAGAGGTCGTCGCGATTTCTGGGAGGGGTGACAACGCGGACGGAGATTTCGAAATCCTCCTCGAAATTACCTACCAGGTGTCTCGGTGCGACGTAAAATCTAGCGAAATTTTCCCTAGTATTCTAGGGATGTTTCGGATATTTTGTTTCAGATATCGGAAACGTGCGTTGTTCGGCCCGCCGTGTCTCATTATGTCGGGGTGCGAGTTGCCCCTCCTCCTGGCTCGCCGGGGATAATATCTCGCTCGTTACTTCTTCCCCGTCATCCGACTAATGAGACTCTCCTCTTTACCCGGCTTCGGTCGGAATTTCGGATTGGACCGATCTGGCCCGGTCGTCGACGACGTCCTCGCGCCCCGAATACCGAGGCTCGCCGAGTTTACATATCGCATCGACCGAACGCGATGTTCCCGGGGAAGCACCGACCGGGGGTGGAGGGCAAGGGGGTGGCGACGTCTCGCTCTAAGGCGGCACTTTCCTCCCCGACGACGGGAACAAGTTACTCGGCGAAACGCCATTTTCATAAACCTTTTTCGTGTCCCTTGCAGCTTCCGAGGTCTGCGCCCCCCCGTGTGACAAGGTTACCTAGGGGATGCTCGGTCTTGTTCGGCTCCTGCATCCTTGTGTTAGGTCTTGACAGACATTTATACGGTTGTTACCTTCATTCCATGTGAAAAAAAAAATCCGGCGAAATTATACCCCCTCGCAATATTTCATTTTCGGTCCCGCCACCTTTCACCCCCGATGCGTGCAGGGCAGGACGGTGCAGTGTATTACAGATCGCGATCGCGTCAAGGGGTAACGAGAATATGAGTTAATATGTGATTGAATGGGTGTTACACGCCGTCGATTTTCCAAATAATACTCTCTCGGGCAAGGGTCTTCGCTCTTTGTGCGAGTGGCGGCCAGAGTCGAGCAGGGTAGCGAATTCGTTGCGTTCCTCTGCCTCTGATCTCAGTGCTCGTTTCTTGCCCACTGAGGGCTTCTCTCTCCGACGCCTATTACTCCCCCTCGGTCCTCTCTTTTCCTCGGGTCCAGCCGGGAACCGAATGGCGAGCAATTTCTGGGCCACAGAGCCCCTGACTGCGTTTGCATTTAGCTGCAGGGCTGCGTAGCTGAATTAATACGTACTCAAAATCTAAGAGTCCCGGGACCCTCCCCAGGAACGTTTTCCTCTCTTTCTCCCGTGGCCTCTTTCTCTCCCCGGTCTGCAGGAATTCGTCTTTTCATTAGGACGCATTATGCCTCGGATGGCCTGCCCTGAACCTGCGGCCGATGAAAGGACCGGCTCCGGTTTTAACGATTCGGTCTTCTTCGGGAACTTTCCCCGAAAACGTCGGAAAAGGCCGTCCTGAAAGGACGGGACTTTCTCACCTGCCGCGCGAGGGCCGGGGAATTTCGGATTTCGATATCTTTGAAAGGAACGAGTCGCGCGTTTTCTTTCTCGGGCGGGGACGCGCGGAATCGAAACGCTGGTCCAAAGATATGCTATCTGGCTCCCCTGAAAGCGGAAAAGCTCGAGAGATGGGTTTCTGTTAAACTGGAACGCCTCCTATCCCCGTCCCTTCTTGTCTCCTCGACTGTTTGCTCGGGCTAAGACGCCGAGAGCATCGCAAGGATGTGCTTAGTTTATATTCGTGTTGCTGAATATAATGCTTTGATAAACTTGCGTCAAGTGTAGTATCTCGAGTGGAGTGACTAAAGCGGTATTAACATATTAAACGGAGGAGCAGTAAGTCGATACATGGGTGCCCGAAATGTAGCGACGCGTTCGACTCGTAAAACTCGATCTCTACTATCCTCCTCGATAGCGTGGATACGCCGCTTTATGAGAAAAAAAAATGTGCCATAATGCGAGAGAGGGAAATAAAAATACGGGAGTGCGTATACATTACATACTAGGATGGAGTACATATATTCGCAAATTCGTTGTTCGTCCATCGGCGAGAAATTATATTGAAAAATATATGTATAGAGTTTCAGTGGCTAGGGAGGATTATTTGAACAAACGGCTCTATTGAAGATGTACATTCATTGCGGGTCTCCATGTAAAGCGTATTTTCGGCCCCGGGGAAAATAATTCCCCGCGAAAATGGCAATTAATGTCATAGAGCATTACTCGCTTTCTTGTGTCACTTAGCCCCGAGTAACGTCCAACCTGGACGATTAATGAGGCGGAGTTATTAAGAACGTGCAAGTAAACGAGGGAATTAATGACAATTACCGACTAATGGTCCCGTCTGACTTCATTACGGAGAATCCCGAGATTTCTCCGGGCAACTTCCTAAGTTACACAGATTTTTAGCCGCCCTATGTAAACGAGGGGGGCGCATTACCCCATCGTTTCATGACGGGCTTACGCGTTCGCGAATTGAATGGAATCTGCAGAATTCCCCTGAATTCCTCGTAATTCCCTCGAAATCGGGAAATCGAACACGCCTCTGCAAAAAAGAAAATCCGAGCAATTAGTGAGTCCGGAGAAAAAATTGTAGAAATAAAAAATGGACGCTCCGGCATTTCGTGCCCGGAGCCCAAGAACTCGACGAAAGAGTCATGCCCGACTTATTCGAAGATACGAGCCACGCGAATTCGTTTTCTAATTCTCGCTCGTCAAGAACGTCTTTCCCGGACGTGGATACACGCAACAGCCATCCGCATGCGAGACTTATTAGCGGGAGTACTCGTCGTGCAGGGAACTCCACCAACTCGAATTATCGAAGTTACTTTCGGTAGCGCGAGATAAGTTATCAGCACCGGCGTAAGTTCGCTCCCCAACCGCGAAGCCGGGGCCACATTACCGGGCAACAAATCGCGGCGTCTTCCGCGACCACGCTCGCGGATTTCCTGAATTTTGTATAGGCCACACCGGCGCATCCGCGGATGCGCTATCGCATAGATCAACCGAGTTAGCGGGTAACGCATAAAAATGCATGAACTGGATAATTGAATGTTAGAGTGCGAATCCTCGCGGCGAGCGGCTGACCGGAAGTCCCGGCGTTATTGGCACGGACGAGCCGGCCAGAATTTTCGCGCTCCAGAAACTCCCCGGGGAATTTCCGGCACATCGGAGACCGAACAACCGCATTCCAGGACTTGGTTATGCTTTCCCCCGGTCTTGGCGGCTCCTGTGAACTCCGTTGTGGCAAAGCTCGCCGCTGCAAAAATCGCCGACTGATGCACCGCCGGTGCATCATCGAGTTACCTTGCGCTGCTCTCGGCGCACTCCTAGGTGCAACGCCGTGGAGGCGAGGACCCTCGCCCAAACTCGCAGGTCCTAATTCAATCGATAATTCCGTGGACTCGAGGAGAGAGAGAGAGAGAGAGGAGCCTCGAGTCTTCCGGAAGACGCGGAAACGGAGAGCGGGGTTTCCGGTTAAGTGGCGCTGCCGCAGGTCGCAGCCTCCGGCGCTGATGGACCGCCGTTCTCCGGGATCTTCTCCGAGGTCTTCTCCACGGGGCCCCACGTTATAGTGGGCCTCAGCAGGCTCCAGTCTCTCTGAAAATCAAGCCCCTTATCAAGAACTACGCTGATAACTCCTTCAAAGAAAAAATGGCATTAATAATGGACCCTCCACGGACGGTCGAACCCTGAAGAGGCTTCGCACCTCGAGAACTTCCTCTCAAAAAGGTACTCTAAGCGATTCCTCCCTCGGGTTAGGCTCGTCCTAAGTGGATCTAACGTCCTTTCTTTCGCAAAAAAAAAAATTTCTGGATGCGATCGTCGGGATCTCGATTTTCCAGCGTGAAAGAGGCCCTCCAGGAAGCGCACGAAGGGATGATTTATGCTCCGGATGGTACTAGTTGCACGAGTGGTCGGTGAGGGTAGATAAGTCGGGTGTTAAAAGTCGTTATTTTAGGGTGCGATATAAGACTTACCGGTCCTTTCCAGAGTCGATATGCCAGGAACGCCGGCAGCGGGGCCAGGGTGGATAGCCCGATTAACGTCCCGATTCCGTCGGCCCACCAGGGGAACTCGTACCCTGGATAAGCCGCCGCCTCGTAATGGTACATTTGGTACACGAAGATGGCCTGGGGGCAGACAAGGAGGGGTGCATCGGGTCACGCCGCCGTCAAGTGCATTCGCCGGTGGATGGAGACGAATGTCGCGTCCGGGGAAGAATCTCTTATTGCTCTCTCCCTAAGTGGAACACGGTGGAACTCGACCCTTGGAATTTTAACGAGGTGGCTCGGTCGCGCATCTCGCGAGTTCGGGCGCGAATTACTGGATTATCGGGCCGTTAATCCGCGCAAATGGAATTATCCCGGCGAGTTAAAGAGTCCGTCTAGGCTTAATTGAGAGGGGACTCGTTCCCAGGGAGTCCGTTTCTTTCGGTCAATCGGACTGCCAGGAACGGTTCGACCGGTCGACAATGTCCTCGAAGTCAATGCGCCTGGAAGTGCCATTGAGGCGCGACTTATCCGAGAATTACTCGCCATTAGTAAATGAGAGAAGGCAGGGCGGACGCGGCAAAATGGAGGAACGAAATAAAGGCTCGTAAGGAGCAATCTTTCTGGGCAGGAAGCGCGAGCTGCTCTCTCGTTAGCGCGAAGGTAGGCGCGTCGCCGAGAGCCTTAGGGAAGCACACCCTCGAACCTTCGAGGTACACACGGAAAAGGTATAATAAGCGAGCATTCTCTGTAATAAGACCCCCGCAGTCGAGCCACAAAAGTTGCCCCGTTTCCTTTTTAATCAGCTCGGAGGAGCGGCGCGACGCCCTCGAGTCCCTTGACTTGACGGAATTTAGCGACACTTTTGACACCTTGGTCCTCCGAAACCGGGCTTTTCGGGGAGCTTTGAAGGTGATCCGTCGACGGAGACAGAAGTTCGGGGCTTGGCTCCGCTATAACGGCATCATGTACCCGTCTCCTGTGAATTGGCTTTATATGATCCGCGCCAAACTAAGTGCAGCCCGACCCGACGTATGTTAAACGCATTGTTAAACTAAGTTTTACGCTCTAACTTGCCCCGACGTGACTCAGTCACTTAGCCCAAAACGCGTGTAACGGACTACTAATGCGCTGTTTGCAAAGAGAGGCATGGCTCCACACTCACACCGAGCCTTCCGAAGGGGAGAATTATTATCGACGAAGCAACCGGAAACGTTGCCGCCACGGCGAGCCACCCCTTATTCCGAGAGCATTCAAGGCTGCACATTGTCGCCGAGGTCCTTTATTAACACTTTGAGGGTCGTCGTGCCCAATTAAGGGAGACGGACTTACCCGGAATCGAGATCTTCCCCGATATTTATATCTCGTGTTTTTGGCCCCATAGAAAATGGATCAAAATTGTGATCCTTAAATTTTAGATCGCCTAGCTCGCGACGCGACAATTGGGTCAGGTCTTGGAGCGACTGGGAGATAGAGGGAAATTTTGCGAACCCTGTTCCTCGAGGATCCCCTGCAGCTTTCCCGGTCTAAATCGATCCTGGAGCCCAATAAGCCGGCCCAGAGCACGCAACCACCGGTCGTTGGGCAAAAAGAATTCCAACTATCCTCTATTAGAGGATGCCGCGGGGATATGGCCGCTTTTTAAGGATAATCCCCACAAAGGGGCCGGTATAAGCAAAGTACTGACCGCTGCGGTGGCGGGGGCGAGCACCACCCAGCAGAGCCACCAGTAACCGTGGAGTAAACATCCAAACTTGATTTGCATTTCCGCTATGTTGCCGAGGAATTTGTTGCATCCGTAGGACCAGGAAGCCAGGACCACCTCGGCAATGCCGATCAATAGTATGGCCCAGGAAGCAGTATTCCAGTCCATCAGAGTGAACAGGTAAATGCCGCCGTCGAACACCATGGGCAAGCCTAGGAGCCAGCAGGACGAGCATATCCCCAGAATTACCAGGGCCTCGTGCTTCCTCAGCTTGGGATACACGTCCAGAACAGCCGTGTTGATCGCCTGCACCCCTGCGAACTTCGACCCCACCGTCAGAACCCATAATTATTAATAATTGGTCGTCAAAAAATGCAATTCCGCCCGGAAACTGCAGACCTGGCGCGCCGTCCAGATTCGGCAATGTGAAATAATGCCGTCGTCCAGGTCGTCGGAAAGTTCGAGGGAAAAATCGAAGGGCCGGCCGAAGTCTTGCTCGGTAATTCTAGACAATGAGCCGGCATGTTCCGTGGGCTGGTTATCATCGGAAAATTTCCCGAGTTTCCCCGGAAAATGTGCCGACGTGGTGCATCGTCTACGCTCGGGATTCGGTAATAAGAAGTAACGCCCGGCTCGGTATTACCGGGGATCGTGTTTTCGCAACTCCGGGTGTACGTCCGGCACGGTATGTCGGTGTTTATCGCCTGCACCCCCCGGAAAGTTTGACGCGAGAAACCGGAAGAAGGGAGCCCCGTTTCTCCGGGTCGGGTCTCCGCGTTACGGCGCGTTACTCGGTTATATGTAGCCCCGGGTGCAAAGGTGCGGGGTAAGTTGCGAAACCGGCGGCGAAAAAGCGGCGAAACCGGGGGCGAACGGATCCCGGTGCTCTTCGCGAGCTCGCGAGATGAGACGAGGGACGATAACTCTTTCCCCGTGTAATCCTAAGTAAAGGCTCGGACGACGTGAAAGCATCGCCCTTAAGGCGCCCGGAACGTGACGCGGGATCTTAAAGCCAGGATTTCACGGCGGATGAACGATCAGAGAGCGATTTATTTAGGGCTCGAGTACACCCACCCTCGTCCTTGAACCTCCACCGAATCTTTCGGCGAGCACCGTCGAGAAGAGACGCGAGAACCTGGTCCAGGTGAGGATCATCCTTCACCTCACCAAGCGATGTATGAATTTATTTAATACTTCATCGAGGGCAAATTCGACCTGGGGAAATTATCACGGAACGATTATGAAGAACGCCCCTCACCTGACTGCCGATGCCGAGGATGAAGAGCATGAAGAAGAAGAGTACTGCCCAGAGATTCGGCAGCGGCATCCGCACCACAGCCTCCGGATACGCGATGAACGCCAACCCGGTGCCGCTCTGGACCACCTCCTCGATGGGCAGATTCATCTGCCGCGCCAGGAAGCCCAGGATGGAGAATATCGCGAAGCCGGCGAAAATGGAGGTGAATAGATTCGCGATAGTGACGAAGATCGCGTCTCTGGAGGACAGAGGAGCGCCTTCAGCTCGATTCGAGTCGTTCGCCGGAGCTTTATCGGATTGAATTAGAAAAACGCGCGACGCCTTTCGATGGGGTTCGCTGAATGGGAATATCCATTCCTCACCTGTGACAGTTGTTCGTGAAGGAGCTGTAGCTGGCCAGAGTGACCAGAGATCCGCAGCCAATGCCCAGGGAATAAAATATCTGGGAGGCCGCGTCAGCCCAGACGTTGACGTTCTTCAGGGTGGACCACTTGGGGCTGATGTACCAGGTGATGCCCTCGGCGGCGCCGTCCAAGGTGACACCTGCGGCAGGAGGAGAAGAGGCGAAAGGAGATGAAGAAGGTGCTCCACCTGGACCCTCACCTCTTATCAGCAGCGCCAGGAGAACGACGTAGGGGAAGAGAGCGGTGAAGTAAACGACCTTCCCGATATACTGCACTCCACCCATGAGGCATACGAAACAGATCAGCCAGGCGAGGGTGAGGCACCCCAGGAGTTCCCATCTGATGCCGCCGAAGTTCTCCCAGGTGGCTCCACGGATCCCCAGGACGTAGTCGCTGATCGACGCGACTCAGGGTTACATCGACTCCTCCTTTTTATTTTTACCATACGGCGCATTCGGTACCTGAAGTACTCCTCGGAGGACAGAACCCTGGTGTAGAGCGACCTGATGTCCGTGGCGGTGGTGCCGTTGAAGCAGTACGTTCCGTTCCCTCCATCGGCAAAGCCGAAATTGGAGCAGACCGTCGCGACAGCCATGCAGGTCCTGTTGTAGAATATCGTCTCAGAGTCCACCTTCTGGCACTCCATCTCCTCGAGGCCGCTGTAGCAGTCTGCAAAAGGGACCGGTGTTATCAAGCCGGACCAAGATTAAGCCAGGGTATGTCGCAGGTTCGCTACCCTTGGAATTAAAATCGTTGTTGCAGCGAGCCCAGGCCAGCTCCGACGAGAAGGACGCGAAGGTGTAGAAGATGGTCCAGGAGACGATTATCATGTAGTATATGGTGACCAAGGTAATCACGACCACGGTACAATAGCCCAGTCCATGGAACGCCGGGGCCATCCTGGCGAAGGCCTCCGTCGGCCCCAGCCCGGAATATTGCCCGATAGCGAGCTCCAGGAAGAATATGGGCAATCCCATCGTGAACAGCATCGCCACGAAGGGAACCAGGAAGGCACCTGGGAGATCAACTTATGTCAGGACTTCCTACGGCGATCGGCTCTCCCTTGGGACCGTCATTGATATCGCGATACTGCCACTCGCTCAATAAGCCCACAGAGCCGGGTACTAACGTGAGCTGGTTGGACATTTCGGAGTAATGAATAAGGAATGACTACCCAGTCGGCTTGGCCACTCAAACGGGATTTAGCGAAGCCGCAACCGAAGTCAGGATCACGAGGAGTTCCCGGTAAGGACGGCGGCCGGTGAAGTCTGGGGTTGATTTCGATAAATTCTGTATCAAATGTCAGGAATCCCAAGTGGCATATAGAAAAAGCCCCCCGGGAGAGCTCGGCTCGTCCCGAAACTTGTCCATACCGAATACCGATCGATTGAGCCACGTCTCAATGCGCCCGCCACGCCGCAACGTCCGTTTAATGTGCAACGTTACACCGCTTCATGCAACATTACGGTTAATGTACAACATTATACCTACATTACACGCATTATGTCTCGCATTAAGCGTATATTACAGCGTCACGTCCTCGGCGTGGGAGATGGCTCGATACCGCACATCCGGCTCTCGTTGTTTCGATTCGGCCGGAAATGATTTTCGACGGTAATCCCTGGTTATTTCTAACCCGCTGTTACGGAGGCGACGTCGATCCTGGGAGGAAAAATTTCTCCCTGGGTTTGATTTCCGGAAGGAGCCCTCCGGGGTGAATTTTTCCCGCTTTCCTCCATCTTCCCGCCGTCTCGTCGCGGAGGTAAATACTTTTTGGATGATTCCGGAGGTTCTCCCTCGAACGGCATATTCGGGGTCTCGAAGCCGCAACCGAAGGCGTAAGTCGTATCGAGCGGGACTCCCGGGAGACTCGCGAAGGAAGCCGTTTAAACAGAGACCAACAACCGGTATTAGATAGGACTCGAATATGGAGTAATAAAATATGGATGATATCGCGTTTCACGGCTGAGAGCAGACCGAGCGTCGCGTCGCTCCGTCGCGCTCTGTCGCGCTCCGTCGTCCTGTCGCGCCCTGTCGCGCTCCGTAGGAGGGAATAAGGAAGCGACGAGTATCGTCTCCCCGGACTCGCTCCCCGATGTCTCGGAAGGAGAACTCGTTGCGAGCTCTGAGATACGTACCTCCACCGTTGCGGTACAAAAGGTAAGGGAAACGCCAAACGTTCCCGATACCGACGGCATATCCGATGCAGGAGAGAACGAACTCCAGGGGGTTGGCCCAGCCGACCCTCTCCGACGGAATTTCGACCAGGAACCCTCCGGCGCCGATGGAGATCTTCTTGGCCTGCGATTAAAGGGTCACTCGGTGATAACGATGCACTCGAACCCCTGGATGCCACCCTCGGGATTATTATCCAACCTTTGACTAATTATTCCCAACCTTGATCCGCGCTCACAGGAAATTAATGAAGTCCCAGGGACCGTGTGTATGCCGGGAAATTATGCGACGTGGTAATTGAATTTTCTGGGAGGACCCTGACTGATGGAGTGCTATTGGATTTTCTAGGCGACGGAGAGGGTTTTTCTTCGAATTTAGATACCGGGACCCGGGCTTGGACGAGAATTAACACCGATGAGCAGAGGGCTTAACAGCGGAGGAAGCAGGGGAGCCGATTAACGGGCCGACGCGCCAACCCAAGGAGGACAGGTGACGGGCCACGTCGGAAAAGCGGCGATACGCGGCCCGCTCCAGGATTTGCGGTAACCAACAATTGGATTACGGTGAACTAGTGTCAAGGGACACGGCATCCCTCCCCGACAATGCCAACGCTGTCAATTTAATCCTCTCGGATCGCAAACCGCGAGGCACGCCGCTCCGAACCGGCGAGATGAGCCACGCCACTTTTTCCCGGACAGTCGACCTCACCAATCGCCAAATTGTCGCCCTATCGAAATCCTCGTCGTTTTCCAGAGTTCGATCTCAAATTCTACCCCGAAATCGACCCCGTCACCTCGTCGGATTTCCTATCGCGGCCCAACTGCTAATCGCGCCCACCTACGTCGGCCTATCTTCGCCTAATTTGGGATGAAATCGGATCTTGTCTTGGGAGAAATTTAAAAAGGGAATAACGAGGTGTAAATAAATGATGGAAGAAAAGATGCCGACCGTCGTTGCAGGCTGGTTTATGAATCGCGGGACTATCGAGAACGCCACGGCATCCTAACCAGGAGTAACGCGACCGCCGGGAGATTTTTAACTAGTTTCATTACAGCTACTCCCACGGGCGTCAAAAAAGAAGCCCGAAGGTATAAATACTGGTTACACTCTAATTTCCTCGGCCGAGAACATGCCCCTTTGCTCCGACGCGTGTGCTTTTTCCGGCGAGGCATTTAATTCCGACTTATTAAACTTCGCGGATTCGTCTTTGCCCTCGTAAACACGGATGAAGCGCGGCCGCGGTGGAGGATGAAATATTGAAATGCTTTTTGCCTCCTTGGTGAGTTTCTTCCTGGATGCAATATTTATTTGAAAAAGTGAATTTTTCCTGCGAAAAGCCCCGCGATTAGCGGACTTGCAAGGACGATGAGGTGTACTAACCCTGGACGGCCTCCCATTTTCCTCGATCATTTGGAGCGGAAATGTTTAACCCAGGACACCAATGGAAACTTTTTAAAAATTCCTCCTCGAAGACACCTCGCTTACCGCATCGCGGCTGTAACGAAACTGCAGCTGGTGATAAGACTGTCGGTATACTAACCGGGCATTATCATCGGAGGACGTATTTCGACGTCTACTTCAACGCGCGCTGGCCATTATCATTTATCACCGTACGACATATTTTACGAAGCACTTCTAATCCCGACAATTGATTTATATCGAGTCCGCCTTTTCCGTTCTTCTCGTTCCATTCCCTCGTTTCTTGCAGGGAGAATATGTGAAGAAACCAGGAGTCTCGAATTCACCGAAGACCCGGGTGAAAGATGCTCGACTTCCTTATCGAGGTAATAAAAAAAATAAAATCCAGCGGTATCGAGGTCGATGCACGTTGATTATCAATTTCGTGCTCGATAACGACTTTCTGAAAATTCGGAGATACCAGGGTATCGTTGGGAATTTTTTCTTTCTTTCTTTTTTTTTTTTCGGGATACTTGAAGAGCACGATGTGACGGCGATGCATATTCCGCGGGGATTTTTATTTATCACCCCCTAGGAGTCGGGGAGTTAATAAAAACTCACTCGTCCTCTAATTTAGGAGGCGCTGTGGGCTAATTGCTCATTGAAATTGCTAATTCTACGGGATTCCGGCGTGGCCTGGTATCTGCGAGCAAGCAGAGGAACCCGAAGCCAAGGCATGCCAACCTGACGGAAACTCGCGTGGGACGGTTTCCGGATGAGAGACACCTCGTCTCGTTAATCGCGAGCGTGAAGAAACTGCAGCCGGTGATAAGGCGGTGGGTACACCGACCGGCCATTATCATTTCCAAGGCGTATTCCGATTTCCTCCCCGCTCGGCTCGCCGGCGATTAATCTTCCCGGCCGCGAGGACTTCTCATGTCGGATGCTCCGAAATGGAATACATAATGGAAGAAATAGCTGAATCCATTCTTAGAGATTCCCCGCAGCGGGCTCGGATGGATGGCTATCCCAACTCCGGGAACGACGTCGATATTCGGGAAGTAAGAAATGCATTTCTCTCCGAGGAGCCGGAGAAGCGACTCGGCAAGAACGTCCAGGTACGATGCAATAACGCCGAATGAGTCCCGGGGAAACACGCTCCCCTGGCCGCAACCTCGGTGGAAGCAGGTATTATCGATCAGTCTTGCTCGTTAACTGGCCAAGGGTTCTTTACTTTACGCAAATGTTTGACTTGCCGGGAATTTATTGATTCGTGTGGAATCGAGGCGTCCATAATGCCGCAGAAGTCGTCGTTACACGCGCTCTCACCGTTCCCGAAGACCTCGTTATCACCGCGAGGAGATCGATCTCGACGACTGACCGATTAGCCCGATCGACCGGGTGGTTCCCCGAAAATCCTGCGGGATTAATTTCGCTAATTACACAGAGATTCCCTATCTCCTTTCGCGACCTGTCAGGTAGACGTCCTTAAAGAGATCTTAAATCTCGGTAAAATTAAATCCATTTTTCGGAACCTTCAGACCGCTTATTAAAGCGTTGTCAGGCGACCCGAATAAGCCTCGTTATCCCGAGACACATATAAGTATCCCGCTGGGAAGCTTGATAACGCATGTATATTATTCGATAGCGATTTCGGGGACTATCGCGTCGATTGCGGAGGAATCTGATAAGTCCTGAATGAAACGATAAAGCGGTGCTAATTGTTTGCGTAACAAGCGGATCGCCACCTGATTCCCAGACGGAACAGGTGGTTTTTTCGTTCGTTCAATTATCCATGCTCGCCCCTTTTGTCGAAATTTCTGCATGAATTATCGATAGGAATGAATTCCCCGGAAAGTCGGTCGACTGTCGAGCCATCGATAAGATTTATCCGAGACTCCGCTCCTAACTCCCGGTAACTATCGTCACATGACATCTAAGAAAGTCGATCGATCGACCGGACTTCCAGCCGTGAATCGCATTCCGCGAACGGCCGAAATGCCTCGTATAATGGGAGGGGGGCCGATTATTACGAAGTTATATAATGAGCCAGGTAATTGTTTATTGGCCCGGGAAAAACTCGCGCGGCGTAACGAGGTTTCCGTCAATTACGCGCCAAGTTCTAACGAGGTTCCCGTCCGTCCGACAAGATGCACCGCGGCGAGGCTTTTCGATTTACCGGAAACCGCATTTTAGAGATCGAGGGAGGGTCGAGAGGTCGAACCGACCGGATCGAGGGGTATTTCTGACCGGAAAATTCGGGCTTATCGAGTGACGCGTCGAGGGAGGCTTTTCCGTCCCCTAATTCCGATAATTATTGCGTTCGCCAGCCGGGGGAAAACGGCGGAAACATTCGAGTCGAAGTGCAGTTTTTCCGGTCGTTTTCTGGCGCGAGTTCGCCCCTTCGGGCAACCAGTTGGCGAGATTATCGACTGGTTAACAGGCTTCGTGACGCGTTAACCCCGCGCGCCTCCACCTCGTGTTCTGCGTTAGGTTAATGGATGGTCCTAAAGGCGGTAGCGTGACGCGTTGACGCGGCATAGATTCCATTACTTTATTACCGCTTGGAGGGTGCATGGTATGGTCGGAAACTTTGTTTACGGGGTGCAGATCGGTCCTCTTTGTCGCGGCCGAGGCCGCCTTATCGTGCCTCTCCCTCGGCCCGATAGGAGCTTCTTCGACGGGGAGGCCGGATGAAACTCCATTGCCGAGGCAAATCCCATTGGAATTGGCTCGGTACATAGGGCGATCCTCCCGGTACTCCGCGGCGTGTCTAAAACTTTATTTTTAGATATGATCGATAACGGGGCTGTATATTTTACGAGGTTACTCGAGCAAGCGGTATGATTATCGATGCCTGGTTACACCGCGCGAGCTTATCGGCCTCCCGTGAAACGTTATAGCCCGAGCGTGAGGACCGCGCGTATTATTTTCCAGCTCTGCAATTTCAAAATCGCCCCTTAAGGTCTCCTTTAACTCCCCGGTGGAGTGGACGAAGTCGTTCCGAGTCAGACTTCGGCACGCCCCTGCTGGCGGGATGTATCATTTCGCCGATCTCGTTGGAACTTCATTTTCTTGTATCGAGGATTTTTATTCCTGGCCCTTCTTAGCCCGTCGGTCTGATTTATACGTGAGACCTCTAAACGAGACTCGGCTGTTCGGCACTTCGGCGGTTTAGGATAGTTTAACACGGGTTTAGCCGCGATGCCACGTAACCGAGTCAAGTTGGTTGTTAATGCTCGGCGGTTAAGTATGGGTCGTCACTCGGCAAACACAAATAGGAACAGCTGCGATGGAGTTGGGAGCACATTATATTCCGACAGTGGTACGACCTGGCCGATATAGAATTGTTGGGAGTTGTCTTCGCTAACGCAAATGCAATTCGGGGAGCGGTGGGACCGCCTATGGGGCCGTTCCGTGGTTTACACCGTGCTAAAAAATGATATTTATTGTCGGCGCGATCGATCGCGATAAAATGGCTCCGATGCATTTGAGCGATGGCATTACTCGAAATGCGATACGAGGCACTATGGGCCGATGCATTACCGCGTAATCCCGATTTTATTATAAGGCCGAAGAAATACCGCGTTGTTATTATTCCCGATATCGTCGATTAGAGGGGCAGAGTGCCCGCGCGGTCGAGTTTATTGCGCCAGCCTGGAAATTACACTGATAATAATTTCACCCACGGTACGGAAAGGATAATTCGAGGTGGAAGACGGGAAATATGTTGGCTTAATCGATATACCCGAAATTCCCGGTAAATAAGGGGTACTTGTCCGCGCCCTCGAGGGCCCCGGAGCTCCGGAGCATAATGCTCCCAAGGCTGCATTGAAGCTCCGAAATTCAATTCCCCCATTGCTTTACATGTCATGAAAGTTAAAACAAGTAAGCTTAATTCCATTCGATCGACGTCCCGGCCAGGATGACGCGGATGAAAATGTTCCGGGCAAATATTCCTGGAGGGAGTCCCGGGGGAACACCTTCTGGCCCCTTATTACCCCGAGTGATTCGGAGTTCTTAAGTGTCCTTTTCCCTTTTTACCCCCGACGTATTGAAAAATGCCCCCGTTTTATCGTCCCTTTCGACGTCCGGCTCGCTAGGGATCTGTCAAATGCTAAATTCGCTCGACACTTTTTCAACATCGGGCAAACTCCAGGGCGAAACTTTGCATCCCGTCAGGGACCCGATTTCCGAATTCATACGATCAACTTTCGCATGCGAATCTTCTCGTCCGCGAAAAAAAAAATCCATATGAACTTTCGCATGCGAATTTCACAGTTTCGTCCAAGACTTTAAAAATTGACCAAGAACGCGACTTTGCAACGATATTAATTTTTTCATGCGAATCTCTTCCTCCGCGAAAAAAAAATCCATATGAACATCCGCAAGCGAATTTAACAGTTTCGTCCAAGATTTTCAAAAATTGACCAACAACGCGACTTTGCAATAGTACGAAATTTTTTATGCGAATCTCTTCGTCCGGGAAAAAAAAATCCATATGAACTTTCGCATGCGAATTTGACAGTTTCGTCCAAGATTTTCAAAAATTGACCAAGAACGCGACTTTGCGACAATACCAAATTTTTCATGCGAATCCGATCCTACGCGAAAAAAAATCTTGCGAACTGGAGAAACGGTTCCCAGGTGATAAACCTGTGTCGATGATTAAACAAGCATTTTTTGTCTCCCGCGTTTGCGCCTCCACGGATGTCTCGCGGGGCTTTAAAATCGATCTTGCCGAACGACGTAGAAAATCTCGCAGCGAAAGCGTACGGAAGGGAAAACCCAGGAATCGCGATTATCCGGCGTTCTCGGGAATGTATCACCGAGAGTCTCGTTTGCGAAATTAAAAGCAAAACCGATAGTTTGCAAGACACTCGGTAGTTGAGTCGCCGGGGAAGTTAACCAATCGCGTAACGAGTTCGGGCTGCAAACACGGTTTTAACCTTTTACGTCCGAGTAATTTTGTCTTCGGTAATCCTTTATGTCCGAGGCCATTACTTTGCAGCTTTTACCCGTTGTTTTCTACTTTTTAGGGTCTACGCTCGATTTTTCTTCGAGCTTCGCCCAATCGATCGGCGGACCCATTACGCGATTGGTCAACTTTAGCGCTGAATACTTGGGACATTACAAGGCCATCGGAATGCTCAATGCCCGATTTAAAGTAAACGTCCCGAGCCGAAGCAAATCGGCCAGGGTGATATTATTCGAGGGATCATAAAGATCCGCGCACTCCTAAAAAGTAGATAACCGCTTTAAAAAGAGATTCTCGGGGGCGTAAAGTTTGCTTCTTAAAATTTGATCGCGCCATATGTCACGGACATATCGACAGTTACGCTATTACCGAGGGACGTACGGAAAGAGTCCTATCTGATTTATACACCTACGTACGTATCTACATAACGGATTGCTCTATCGTACATGACGAGCTTGTCGACTCACCCTGGAGTAACGAGGAGAAAAAGTACACCGATGGTGCAGCGCCATCTGTGTAAGTAAGCGTGAATCGTGCCCTCGATAAATCAGCTTTACCAGATAGCGTTATAACGCGAGTTGATTTTACCGACCGCAGTTGCTAAGAGTTTCCGGAAGATTTTCGCAGATGGCACTGCACGATTGTTCCCGTCTCGGGCGGAACAGGAGGCGGAACTTCTTTGCAGGTTTTCTCTGACTAGAGTCCTCGTGACCGTTCTATTGATTGTTATTTGCTCTAGCGAGCGTAGTCTCGTGCCTTGCCGTTCTTTTGAAGTCGTCCAGGGTGCGGACTGCGATCGATCGGCTTTCACTTCCCGCCCCCATCAGCCAGTGCTCGTTCGGGTTTTCATTCGGGTGTGACGTGAAATGAGAATCCGAGGACCGCAGTAATTCCGTGATTGTTTCCTCCTTGGCATTCTCGACTCGGCCGCCAAGATGGGCTCGCTGTTTCGGAGCGAGGAGATGACCTTGTGTCAGTTGTTCCTGCAGAGCGAGGCCGCGTACGCTTGCGTCTCCGAACTTGGAGAACTCGGACTAGTCCAATTTCGAGATGTAAGTTTTATTTTATTACTCCTTTTAACGGTAGTTATCCTTTTTATACTCTCCATTTTTAGCATACCGAAGGGAGCTGGATTAATAAATAGATTGCACCCCGTATAGCATTTTTTGGGGAAACGAGTAGTAGGAGGAATACTTTCGAGCTTTCAAGCTTTAACGTAACGTTCCTTTTCTTAACAGCTGAATCCTGACGTCAATGCGTTCCAAAGGAAATTTGTCAATGAAGTACGTCGCTGCGACGAGATGGAGCGCAAGCTCCGATACCTGGAGAAGGAGATCAAGAAAGACGGCATCCCCATGCTGGATACGGGAGATAATCCCGAGGCTCCTCAGCCTCGTGAAATGATCGACTTGGAGGCAACGTTCGAGAAACTGGAGAACGAGTTACGCGAAGTCAATCAAAACGCCGAAACCCTGAAGCGTAACTTCCTGGAGCTCACAGAGCTCAAGCACATTCTTAAAAAGACCCAAGTTTTCTTCGACGAGGTAAGAAGTTTTATACCGAGCCAAAAGTTGTCGTGTGAAGACCGTCTTTACCGTGTGACGTTGAATTTTACCATTAATTCATTAATTCCACATGATCCACATGAGATAGATGGGTTTTGAATTCTGTCGATTTTGGAAATTGGTAGTTACAAAGGTATTACGCGGTAACAGCTTGTAAACGTGCAATTGTCTACTACAGAGAATGCATAAGGTATAACATTAATGTCTAGAACGAGTTGAAACAATTTATGGGACCTTACTAATGCAACGTTCTACATACATACATGGATGGGTAATGGGATCTCATTGGAACGTTCAGTGAAACAATTGACAATTACAAGAATTCCAAACATTATTACATCGTCTACCAAAAAATTATATCGCTCTCTAAATTTTCAATATTATTGCATAAAATCATACAAAGTCACAGGCGCAAATTATAGTGATTAATGATGACTCCGATCTTGATGATTTTTATATTTACTAGCCTATCAGCGGGAAATAGCAAATCTTTAAACGCTCCAATATAAAAATGATACCATAAGAAAATAAGTCACTCGAGTACGAGAAGTGCATGATTTACTCACTGTGGCTTTAGAAAGCAAACGAACTTGAGCTATGAAAGTAACCAAATGCATGATTAAAAAAATGATAATCTGCGCTAGGACAGTGCCCGAAGAGAACTCCTTACATTTGCTTTGGAATGAAATCTTGAGTGAATGGAGCAGCGCTCGCAGCATACATTGGAGCATCGTTCCATTAAAAAGGAATATAAATTAATACAATGTTGGTCATAGCTGATTATGAATAAGGGGCTGTTGACATCGGTGTGCCTGCGTTACGTGTTACTAATGATATTGTTGAGTGATTTTAGGGATATTTAATGTGTTAGTGTTGCCAACTAACAAAGTTGCAGATTCGCAATGGACACAAGTCACTCGTTATGCTCTACCTCCCCGTACGTCAAGCAGTAATCCTTAACGGAGATTCCTTCTTGATTCGTTGTCTTCCGAAACCTAAATCGAGCCACTCGTCGAACGCGTATTTTGCTTCCTCCACCCCGAAATGTTCAAAATTTCTTCTATCGAAATCAAATTTCTATAATTATTTCTCTTTGAGGGAGGAAACTGGACCACGCAACAAGACGGTAATAGATGTAAACTTGTGTCACTTATATCTAGTTCAACACTTTAATTAACCGGCATGTCTTATAAACTATTATGGATTTAATTTATCTAACTCTAGAGTAGACTTATGGGTTACAATGTATTTTGTACCGTACATGATTGGTTTATATTTCTTACAGGCATGGTTACTTAAACATTCATATCCCTCCTGCACTTACCCGAAAGACCTGCTCGATAAAGGCATTAAGTTCCAGCCGATGCGGTGGCATTACATAAATTACCACTTAACATTACCAGCCTTGCATGCATTTAAGTGACATTGCACCTTGCACGATTGTTTATTCGAACACCCAACAGGTATCAAACTAGCACTGGCACAACGTGGAACTATCAATACATTGTATTTCGCTTCTTTTATTTCCCTTCGCAAAGTCTAAGTCGAACTAGAAGTAGAAGGATATATCCCATATCTTACACCTAGTACCATAGAATTTCATATTATTTTCTTTTTACGGAACGCAATTAAATTACACGTGTCCTTGTTTATCGATGTCACCATAACTCGGCACGCAAAAACCGTATCCGTGCCTGCCAGCTACAGTAGTCTAGTTCTTGATGCGTGCGATACAGTCCTTCAGACAAGTCCAGTTTCAGAGAGTCCCGGGCGAGAGGAACCCGACCTCCGAGGACTCGACTGATTGAGAAAAAGAAAAGAAAAGAAAACTATAAAAGTATCCGTAACTCGACATTCGAGAGAATCGCCGGAAGCGTCGAGGTGTGCCCCTCGACCCTGAAGATTCCAGCTCGAGGGCAGCTCCTCGATCGTCGGCGGTGAGTCCTTCCCTCGGCCCGTTTTCCTCCCTAAAGATCGGGAAAATGAAGGAAGGACGCTATTTGGGGAGGTAGGGCATAAGGAGAGGGGTGACGTGTGACTGTTGCCAGGCTGAGTACGGAGGTGTCGTGTCGCAGATGGCAGACCCCAGCCGCGAGGAAGAACAAGTCACTCTCTTGGGTGAGGAGGGCCTCCGCGCTGGCGGCCAGGCTCTCAAGCTCGGGTAATTAATTGTGGCGTATCTCTGCTCGTGCAGAGCGCAGAGATTCACTGAGCATATCCCAGCGGGTGCCCCTAGAGGCGGCGGGGAAAATTCCTGGACCGTCAGCCGTTAAATTCCCGGCCGCTAAATTTCTGGCCACGGTGAGGCGCGAGATTCGCGGGACTTACTAAATTCGGTCTCGACTACAGGACTGCGTTATGGTGTCCGTACCACTAATCCTCGCTTCGACGAGTCTTCGTCCTTCTCTTTCGATGGGCCGAGGAAGGTCGACCCGTTGCCACTGCGGTTTGCCAAAGAGAAATCGACGCGGCCAAGGGGCAACGGGGGAACCTCCCTCGGCGCGTGCATGAGCCCATCGGTGAACATCGAATTGGTACTTTCCATTCCCCGGCGTGGTTCTCTCCGGGAAGGAACGAAGTCGCGAAGCATGTGCTGGGTGTGATCCCTACGCTCTGTACTTTAACGATAAGTGACCGAGCACCATCCCTCGCGGTACTTCCACGCCGCTCGCCGTCCACCCTCTGGACAATCTCTGCACCCCGTACTCTGCGCACCGTACCATGGGGTGGCGCTCGGCCACCGAATCTCCGACCTGGAGCAGTTAAATCCTAGGCGCCCCTAGAACGCGGAATGCATCGCTCCTGGTCTCTCGGTATGCACCGCTCGGCTCTCTCGACGCAGGTCCTTTTCCTCGACGCCGTCCACCCTCGTAGACGGTCGATGAGAAAAACTCGAGGAGGAGGATCTCGATGTGCGCTTTAGACCGACCCTAGGAGGTGCACCCGAAGTCTAGCGTTTAAGTAGAGAGGGCACTGTCGGCCAATATGTTCTGTCGTTACAGCACCTGTATACTGCGGCAGACACCATAGGAGCGCACTATAGGAATCCCCTCAGGCAAGCCGTTATCAACCGTTATTTGCGTTTGCGCAATTATGTTTTGCAAAGTGTCCGCCTATGTAGCTGCCCGAAAGCTCCCGTTGCTACGTAAAGAACGTCGCTGGTTAAAAGGAACGTGGCACCTCGTCGATGCATTGGGTTTCGTTTTTCTTTTTATCTCCACTTATTACCAAATAAATCTTCAGGACGATTCTTCATCAAGGAACCCAGTCTGGTCTAAGTTTGACGTCTCATTGACGGAGGTAAAATTCACTTCTCTTGTATTTTTATTTTTTTTTTATTTTCTTTTTTAGACGGTTCTTCATCGCGATGGGCCAATGCTTCGACTATGGGTGCCACTCTCGAAAAGACAAACGCGACTGTTTGCTTGACGTAATAACAATTACTACACGTTCACGTAGTTCTTTTCGCCGGACACCCAAGATTCGTCGACGTTTACTCTGGAAACGGAATCGAGGATTCCCGTCCGCTCGCCATTACGTATAACAGTTGATACAGTTTGACGTGGACTTGTGCGGACGTCCTAATGAGCAATTTCAAACTGTATCGAGTAATCCTTCCATCGGTCGGGCAGTCGTAATCGGCTAAACGCCGAGACTCGCTGGCTTCTGGGTGCATTTTTTATTCTTTTCGTTCCTTTTCAAATCGAGGGGGAAAAAAAACAAATAATGATTTTTTTCTTATCATTCACCCTATCGCGTCGGTCGTCGACTAGTAAAGACGTTCCTCGTCCGCGAGGACGTCCTTCCGTAACACATTTAGAAACGTGTCATGTGAATAACACAAATGATGATGGTGTGGCCATGGGTATGTATATCGACGTCTCTCTCTCCTTTTATTAACCCTGGGCTCTATGTGCCTCGAAGCATCCTTGGTTTTTATTTTTTTTTTTTTTTCTTCTTCTTCACCGAGCATTGATCTTCTTACTTGGAGGCAAAGGTTGCATTTAATCGCCACGTGCGAGCGATCTATTGTCATTCCTGGGAAGAATATCAATGTTGCATCGCTGGCTCGCTAACATCGCATGCCGCTTACCTTCTGATACCTGCCTGATTAGCTACTTTTACTTCCTGGCATTATTTAGTCTCGCACTCTTTACTGTCGTTCGTACGTGTGCCTATGATAAAGTCCTGTTTAAGACCGTGTACAATATCTCGTGTCGTAAGCAGAGGAGCATCTCGGAACGGAGTCGAGCGCGTTCTAGTGGCAGTCAAAATTATGGAGGAATTAATTAGCCTAACGATAAGCGCCAGCTCGGGACCGACGATAGATCAGCAGGTGGGATCTAAGTGACTTATTAACACGACCTGACGTAATGATGCCTTGTGAATTTTTTCAGATTGTCGTACCGATTAAGCGAGCATTACCAGGACTTGCCAATCTAATCAATGATTCATGCATTTGTTTACACCAATTAGAATTCAAACCCGCCACGAAATCTCAGTGGACTGAGAATCATGTGGCGTTAACCGTTTAGAGAGATTCGTTATTAGAGAACAAACCGTGGTGGATTCGAAGAGGCACCCTCGCACGTTCAAAGCCTATGCTCTCGAAGGACTGAGGAGAAAATAATGAAAAAAAAAAAAGAAAAAACAATAGACAAAAAAAGAACAAGAGAAAATGGGAAACGTAGACTCGCTCCGGGGAAAAGGGACGAAAGTTCACCCGGGGGGAGGGCCGTTTTAATTCGAGGGTCTCCTTTTTATTAATTAGCTTTATGTCCCCTCGTCTACTGCTTTCCATGAGAATGAACTACTCGCCTTCCTGGGAATAACTTCCTCCACCGTGTACGCCCATCTCGTTTATTGCAGAAAGTAATAAACAGGACCACCCCCGCCTTTCTCTCGGCTCATTTCCAAGTCGTTTACTGTATGCTATTTTGTACTATCGTAGACTCGTTGGTAAATACCTTTCCCCTGCATACCTGAATGCACAAAATCGATCCGGGGGGGGGCGATCGATCGCGTTCGCGGATCATCTTGGAAATGTTATGTCGATCCGGTCGTTGAAGGATGAGTACTCGGTGGGACGTCTCGAGGGACGACAGGCTCTCGAAATCGGCTTTGAATCCATCAAGGTACCTTTTAAACAATGAAACCCGCACGCACACTGAAGGCCAAGCACCCAAGCAACGGCAGAGTGGCGTTTTGAGCATCGTGGTCGTGTTTACGGTGTGCTAATGTGGTTGTGTCTTGTCTGTTGTGTCGTCAGCAAGAGCACGCAGGCTTGAACTCCACCGAGTCCATGACACGCGCATTGATTAGTGACGATAATATCGCCCGCCAGTCTGCCCTTGGTCCTGTCCAGTTGGGGTACGTACCTAGAACAAAACTTCCTTCTGTAGCTACTCCCGATCCGCGATACGTCGACATGCATTCGGACCTTGCACATCCTCTCGGGACTCTGGGAGATTCCCTCAATGGACGCTAATTTCCATGGATGCTGCAATCGGACGATAAAGGGACGACAGGTGCACCCAATGCACCGGGGTGCAATTGCATTTTTATTTAAAGCGACTATCGCCCGAATTGAATTTCTACATTTGGAGAGGATGGATCTTAAGTGTCGCTTTAATCTTAATTGGTCATTGATTGCAATTAATCCAAGGATGTCCAAGGTCCGATGAGTGGATGCGTACTGTGCGTGGGTCCTTTCCCTCTAATAGCTGCTTCGACGTCTCTATCGGCGGTACTAATTAATATCGGAGAAAGCACCGTATTAACAGATCCCGCGACTTAAGTTAATCAGGAGTATTAATGCCTGCTTGTTTTGGAACGTTTCCCACGTAGGTACGTCAGACGTCTGCTGGAATTGTCGACAGATCCACCGATGTTCTATACCTGTCTCTACTGTTCACTGCGAACAGGCATCGATGTCTCTTTTGTCAAGCAGCACGCGTCGAGGGTGTTCAGAGTATTTTAATAATCGCCCTAATCTAGCATTTTGACCACCCACTTTGGGAGGGAAACGAGAGTCCGTTGCATCTCAAAAGGATCAATTTTTTTCGAGCTCGGTTCAACGATTCTCTCTCTTAGATGTCGACGTTGAATGTCCGATATCGTTGGTTTACGAATTTAATTAGGATCTCGCGCGTGATAAGCTTTAATAAGTGGATTTTTTGGCCTGCACGACTCGCGATTACCTCTCGCTCAATAATACACCGAAGACTACTGATCTTTAACCAATTTAGAGCTCCCTGAAATGCAACGTTGAGAGCTGAGCACGTTTGTGCCTCGCCGTAGAATTGTTTAATATTGTGCTTCTGTCCCCTGCCCTATCTCTAACCGTAAAATATGCTGTTTTTAGATAAATTTCATGATACGACCGTATCCATTCTTCTTCTTTTTTTTTTTGTCGAGTCTCTTCCGGTCGTTACATCGTTCGTCCTTTTAGACTCATTACAAGATCTCAGGGCTAAGAATTAATTGTAACTCGGAGGAAGGTTTATTTTATTTCTTTTGATTTCTTCTAATTCGCTGGTACAGACTTAGTCAGTACACGAGGCAATCGAGTGCATAGGTGCGGTACTTTAGGACAATTAACAAGTTTTTCATGAATTGTTGCATCCGTTGCCCCCCGTAGTCTTCGTATATACGTATGCAACCACGTCGAGGATCTTTTGTAAGTGTTTGTTTGTTGTTGTTTGTCGGAACTTCTTGCTGTCTCTTAAGAATGCTCCACAGGAAACGTACAAGTTTACATATCGGGTAGCCCGACGATGCCCACGATATGTAAATGGCCATGGCTACAGGAATCATCATTCGCGCGACACCTTGGACGTGGTCCCACGTGATTTTTCCTCTATTTCGTCGAAAGAAAGTCACCTAACACGATCTAACGTACTCGAGATATCACTGCAAATGCGAATCCAGCCACGTTGGGGGGGAAAAGTTGTTCCGCTCGAGTTTTATAATTTTCTGGCCGGATTTAACGCGAGTTAAGAGGAAAAATTAGGGGCGGAAGGAATGATCCGTTTTGTCGGGACAACTTTTTAACTCAACCTGGTGTGAAGCCCAGTACGAGGAAAAATTCGCATTGCAAAACACGAAAGCCCCTCGCCATTGTCTACTCCCTACTCAAAGTACTAATCGATACAGATTGAAAGTACACAGTGTCAGGTGTCTACATAACTCACCGAGTAAAAGGCTTACCGAATAATTGGTACGAGACTTCGGCGTCTTTTTAGCGAGAGTTGCTTTTCCTCGTCGATCGGAATTACGGAGATCGCGAAGTTCTCGTCGTGGCAAACTCTAGTTACCTACCCACGTAATACGGAGCAAGCGAATAACCGCCATACGTAACCCCCTCGCTCTCGGTTAGATAATGCGACACGCGTTGCTGGTAATCAAATCCCATTTTAATCGATTTTCTTTAACCAGTTTCGTCGCTGGAGTCATCCTCAGGGAACGCATTCCCGCTTTCGAGCGGATGCTGTGGAGAGCATGTCGAGGAAACGTGTTTCTACGCCAGGCGGAAATCGAAACTCCGTTGGAGGATCCATCAACGGTTTGTCCAAGCATAAGTCATTGTGATAAGCGGAAATGAGACGTTCCACCTAAAGGAAATAAATAAATCAAGATTTTGGGCGGAACTGTAATTATTACTGGACTATTCACGTTACTTCGGATTAACTAGACTCTTTTTTTCCTTCAGGGAGACCAAGTGTTCAAGTCCGTCTTCATTATTTTCTTCCAAGGAGACCAGCTGAAGACACGTGTGAAGAAAATCTGCGAAGGATTTCGGGCAACTCTTTATCCATGTCCCGAAGCACCAGCAGATCGACGGGAAATGGCCATGGGAGTTATGACACGTATTGAGGATTTAAACACTGTATGTTTAATTTCTTCTTTTTTTCTTTTTTCGTGCACTGCGATCTTACCTGAGCCTTTGGTTATGGCATACAATTTATGCATTAATAACTGCTATGAATTTGTAGGTACTCGGTCAAACGCAAGATCATCGCCATCGCGTGCTGGTTGCCGCTGCAAAGAACATTAAGAGTTGGTTCGTTAAAGTTCGCAAGATCAAGGCTATCTATCATACCTTGAATCTGTTTAATTTGGACGTTACCCAGAAATGTTTGATCGCCGAATGCTGGGTACCGGTCCTGGATATCGAGACGATTCAATTGGCTCTGCGCCGTGGAACGGTAAGTGAAAATAGATGCACTGAGATTCTGCAGGGAATTTTGTATAAAATTGATCTATAAAAAGCCTCGTGGTTTTAGGAACGTAGCGGTAGCTCCGTGCCGCCGATTTTAAATCGTATGGAGACCTTCGAAGATCCGCCGACCTACAATCGGACCAACAAATTTACGAAAGGGTTTCAGGCCTTGATCGATGCTTACGGAGTCGCATCCTACAGGGAGATGAATCCGGCTCCTTACACCATAATAACGTTTCCATTTTTATTCGCGGTCATGTTCGGTGATAGCGGCCACGGCCTTATCATGTTTTTATTCGGAGGTTGGATGGTGCTGAAAGAGAAGCCTCTCGCTGCTAAAAGATCTGACAATGAAATCTGGAACATTTTCTTTGGTGGCCGATATATCGTGTTCCTTATGGGCCTGTTCTCTATGTACACAGGACTCATTTACAATGATATTTTCTCAAAGTCATTGGACATATTCGGGTCTAATTGGAGAATAAATTACAACATTAGTACGGTCCAGACGAACAAAGCTCTGCAATTAAATCCCAAGGAGGACGACTACTGGCAGTATCCGTATCCATTCGGCATGGACCCTGTCTGGCAATTGGCTGAGAACAAGATTATATTTTTAAACTCCTACAAGATGAAAATATCAATCATCTTTGGGGTAATTCACATGTTATTCGGCGTGATTGTCGGACTCTGGAATCATATGTACTTCAAGAGGAAGCTCAGCATCATCTGCGAGTTTATACCGCAAATAGTCTTCCTGGTTTTCCTGTTCTTGTACATGGCCCTGCTTATCTTCATCAAATGGATCAAATACGGCCCGACAAATCGTAAGAATTTACTATATCCAAACTGTTTCTGGTATTAGAAGTGTCGATTGGTCCTCTAAACGGTCGTTACAACTTTCAGCTATTTCCGAGGGACCTGCTTGCGCACCGTCGGTATTAATTACCTTCATCAACATGGTTCTGTTCAATAATCCTGAGAAGAAGGAGAATCCAAATAATAATCCCGATGACGAGAACCCTTGTACACCGTGGATGTATGGTGGTCAGTTTGGTTTCCAAAGGCTTCTGGTTGTTTTGGCTGTTCTTTGCATCCCGTGGATGTTATTGGCTAAACCGGTGATGATGATGCGTAACAGGAAGAAGCAACATTACCAGGTTCGTTGCTACAACCCGTTATCGATCTTCCACGTTAGAAAACAAACAAAATTTAATCCCTCTGTCTATTCTATATCGTTAATTTTTTATCCACGCAGTTGAACAGCCATGGCACTGAAAATGGAGACGTTGAGGGAGCAATAGGTGTTACTCAACCAACTGGCGGTGTTGCCCAGGGTGGTCATAAAGATGATGGAGAAGAAGATATGGGTGAAGTGTTCATCCATCAGGGTATTCACACTATCGAGTATGTTTTAGGCAGTGTCTCTCACACGGCCTCCTACCTTCGATTGTGGGCATTGTCTCTTGCTCATGCTCGTAAGTTAGCAGAATCTAGTGGAAATAGAAACACCGATGACTGACAATTTATAAACTCGTATTTTTCATTGCAAATTCCAGAACTGTCCGAAGTACTGTGGAACATGGTCATGAGAAATGGTCTAGCGCGCGAAGGCTGGGCTGGCGGTATCGTCCTTTGGGCTATTTTCGCATTCTGGGCAGTCTTGACTGTCGGCATCCTTGTCCTTATGGAAGGGTTGTCTGCTTTCTTGCATACCCTTCGACTTCACTGGTATAAAAAAATTTAATCAATATATATGTATAAATTAATAACACGTTATGTCGGAATTGACATAATTGCTCATCGCGTTCATTTATTTTTGCTCGCAGGGTGGAGTTTCAGAGCAAGTTCTATGCCGGCCTCGGATATAGCTTCCAACCATTCTCATTTGAAATTATTTTAGAAGCTGCTCAGTCAACCACTGAGGATTAAATCGGAATGATTGCGCAAACTGTCTCTACAATTATATCCACCATTACATGTATTTGTCGGGGTGTAGATTCGAATTAGATTGTAATTACCCAGAATTGTACTTATTGTCTTTGAAACCAGTCATGAAAGAAAGTATTAGTCACATAAATGCTGTTATTCCCAAGAACTCTCTATTAAATCTGTAGGACTCAACGTCAAAATATAAACGATTGATTCAACGCAATTTCGTAATTCTTTACTTTTACGGAAAATCCGTATTTTTAAAAATTAAATTAATATCAGAGATCACTCTGTTAATATTGAGTTATCACCGCCGTGGGGGCAAGTCCGTCAGCCGCCTACATTCTCCACCGAGGGCAGCACAGATTGCTCACGGGCAGGTCGTGCGATCTGGGGGCAAAAAACGGTGAAAGCTAACGTACGAAACCAGAGGGCAGCACAGCATGCGATCGCACGATCCTGCCCGTGAGCAATCTCCCAACTCATCTCTGGTTTCATGTCACTGGTCCCCTGGCATTAGCTGGCAAGACCGATATATCCGATAATGATTGTGGTAGTTGTACGGTGCGAGCAGTCGGTTTGGTTGTATAAATGCGTGCAAGAGTTCTAGCAATTTGGAGACATGAAAGAACAGAAGTTCAGCGACATTTTCTAAGTTATATCACCCAGAAGGATACCTTTTAATTAAGTCTAGTTAGATTAATATTAACGATTCAAGAATGAAGACAAACGAAGTCTGGCCTTATACTTCATCCAATTGATTGTACATATATAAATACTTGTTTTGGTTTCGCATATCGACTCATATAATTATGGTAAATAATGAGGATTATTCTGATTACATTAATATCAGTCTTACAATATTTGTCAAATATTCATCTATTGGTTTTACCTGTGATTTTATAACAATAACATTATTTGCAGGCAGTTTTGGGAGTACAACTAGGAATCACATTGATAGTCGTCAGTATTATACAAAAATTAAGTCCATACTTTTCCTTCGCAAGATGGACATTATGTTCTACGGGGTATGTTTTATTGTGCAATCCATTAAATTTTTATTTTATCGTCAATCGTATCCAGACATCTTTTTTGCCTTGAGACAAGTTTTATTTTTTAATATGTTAATAATGCATGAGCTAGTCAAAATAGATTACTCGTGGCTATTTTTAGAGTCTTAATATAAGCTGGGTCCACCTCTCTTATGTGATGCGTAAGAAATTCGTCCAGGAATTATATTTGTATGTGCTTGGTTGTTTTATTAAAGGTTTGCTTTTATGTATTATCGACTTTCACATTTACTAATCTAGATTTGGCTTTATTACATTCAGACTAACTCGTTACCTATATCCAACCGATTCCGAATTGAGGACACTTGCTGGTGTGCCAAAAGAGAAACCCAAAAAGGGAAAACACGCGGAAAATGGGAGAATCGGGGATGTGTTTCAAGTACCACGAAGCTTAGATGTTACTCTCCAAAGTACAAAACTTACGCCACTTGATGTTGTACATTTAAAATTTTACCTGGAGTATCAGTGGCTGCTGGATTTTTCTGTTTATGCTGTCATAGTATATATCTTAACCGAGGTAAGCAAATGGGAGCTTGTGATCTCAGAATATAATTGTAACGCTACTATAATTTCCAGATCTACAGCTACTTTTATCCTCTCAAAGACGAGATCAATCTCAGCATGCTTTGGTGCACAATGGCTCTGCTCTTTGCATTGTATCCTTTGATTTAAAAACGTAACACATGGTCATATTGAAAACCAAATGATTATTCCTTAAATACCTAACAGTAAGGTTTTAATTACACTTTGGATGCAGTACTTCAAAGGTGACGAGAATGTTGGCGAACGATCTACATGTATCGTCAGTGGATTTGCATACTTGCTGGTAGCAATGGCGATATTAATCGTCGACGAGAATATTCTTGAGCTTGGATTGGAAAGAGCATATGAGAGTTTCAATCATGGAGCATCAATATTCTTGGACAAGCAAGGCCTTTCCTCTGCGTAATATATGTTTATATACCTCTTTTAATTCTACGGATAAAATAATTGGCCTACATGTTACGTCATCCAAATATTTATTGCAGTGGTCCAGCGTCGAAAATCGTAGTGAAATTCTTCCTCGCTCTATGGTGCGGCTTTCTTGGATCGCTACTTACATTTCCAGGATTAAGAATGTCGAAAATGCACTGGGACACGTTGAAGTACGACGCGGTTATGGTTGTACGAGCTGTCGGTAACGCGCAAGTCGTATACCGATGCTATTTCCGGTGCTAAGTACCACAAACAACTCCACCACCATACAATTTTTTGTTTCAGTTATTATAAAGACAAGAAATGGTTGCTGCTACTATTGAACGCCAGCTATGCGTCTCCGATGTTGCTGGTATGCTTGTGGATTAAACCGATAAGCAGGGATTATCTAACAGTTCGGGTATTCTCTGGCATGAGCGAACCACTGTAAGTCTACGGAACATATTGTAATTCTGAACGTTTCATACCGTATGTCACAGATGTGGATTTTAAAATGCCTCAATCCTCTCTTTGTAGAATGTCGACTACTGCCTTCGAAAGCTTCAGACTACTTGCGGTCGTCCTTGTCGCTGTGACGAAACTAGCCATTATGCCAATTTACTTACAGTCCCATCTGAATTTAGCATCGCAAAGGTTGGAGTACCAGAAAAAGGAGGCAGGGAGAATAACAAACGTGGACCTGCAGAAGAAGGTTCGTTAGTTGCTTGTACCTCTTCGGGGCTAATCACGGGTGAATCTGAAATTCTTTTCGTACCGCAGATTGCAGCCGTATTTTACTACCTGTGTGTCGTAGCGCTACAATTCGTGGCACCTATTATCGTTTGCCTGTGCTTCTCCCTCATGTGCAAAACTCTTGGTAAGAATAGTTAGTAAACAAGATGGCAGGTAGATCGAGTCCCAATGAATGGTGGGATTTTTATAGGCGGTTACAAGTGGAGCGGAATACTTGGAGGAATTCCTTCAATGTCAGAATGCCCTGTTAATTCAACCATGACGAAAGAGTCACCGATCGGATCAACTGATACAGACGAAGCAACTATTGCACAAACCACCAAAGAGCTTCACCTTGCTCTGGAGTCATTGAAACAGGTGGAGTGGCGTGGAATTAAAAAAAAAATGAATATCTAAAGTCCGTCTTCGATTCCAGTACACAATTAAGATTTACCAAAATTATGTCGTTTGTCCGCAGATTTTTACCACCGAAGTGTTCAGAGGCTTGTTGGGGTTCGTAACATGGTGGAGCTGTTTCACCCTATTTGCATCAACGGCTATGGGCATGGTGTATCAGTCGTATTTTTCGAACGTTTGAACATCCCTTTCCGCAAAACGGATCGATAATCTGTGCAGAGCGACTCGATTTTACTCCCAGAAAATCAACTCATCGCGGCACAAGATTACCGATGATGATTCGATTAAACCTAAGTTTCTCGGACTGTCTTAAATTTTCCGAGTGCCAAGAAAATCGGCAGATCGATAGCAATAAAGTATGTTTGCTAGAAGACTCATAAAGTGGATGTAACATTCATCGCTCGACTACCCGGACAGTACGCCAGGGAACGCAGATAAATGATAATAGAAAAAGACGAGGTTTATTTTCTCCAACACTTATATTACAACTTATCATACAATTAATACTTAAAACGACTGGAACACGGAGAGAGACGAAGCTTGTCTTTTTTTTATGTAGCAGTTACGAGAGCTAAGTAGTTGCGCAGAGACACCGTTTGTTGGATGATCGATCGTTGCGCCTCCATCGGTAAAAGTAATCGCAATCGATGCAAACCATGAATAAGAGTGCCGCACGCATGGGTACCGTAGCGTTCGTAATTGCAATGCTCGACTTAATCTCCGTGAATGATAAGTCATGCCATTGCATCCAGAAAAACCTAACGACTAACGTTATAAGATCGAACTCCTGGAAATAGGTGCATCGTCTTCGAATTTGTTCCGTAGTGATAGGAGTAGGCTGACCGTCGCTCGGAGGTCGGATCACATGAAAATTCCTGGTGCGTTAACGTTTAACGTTTCGTCTAGGCCAGGGTCGTTAACACGGGGAGATATCGACGAAGCACGAAAATATATCCGGCAGGGAGGAACCCACGATTACCGTCACGTGGACGCTTATCTAGCCGGCGACATATCGGAGAGGGAAAAAAAAAAAAGTGCAGACATCGATATCTTCTTCCATCGTTTCGGCATCGCTTCGGCATCGCTGATTTAGCGTTCTGCGCTTTTCTGTATGCAATCGCCTCCATTCTCCAAGCTCCCTCTTGTGGCTTAGCGGCATAAGAAAAGGTCGGCCAGGGGGATATTCGTATTTTCCGCAGTTCCGCAGGAACTGCTCAACAATCGAGAACTCCTCAACCTCGACATTACTAAGTGAACCGGTACGACTAGCTCGCTCGAACCCCGCCCTCAAGGGAATACTATCAACGTTCCTCCATTTGTTTCTCTCCACCATTGTCCCTCTTTTGATACGAAAACGGATCTCGTCGGATAAAAATGTACAGACCGGACTGACTAGAAGTTGCCACCCGGTACCAGGATGCGAACGTTAAGTGGTACAGTGCGGTTCATACGCGAGAGAAATTCCTCCCTTCCTCTTGTAACGTTGGACCGAGATCCGGTACTTAGTCGTAAGTGCTTTTAAGGGGACTGGTTCCAGAGCGCCTGGTAAAAAATCATCCCAACTCCTCGGCTGCCCGAAAGCGACTCTCTAAAAATGCGTTCCTCGACCTGAAGAGGACCCCTCGGGCAGCCGAGTTACTCGTACGGACTTAAACGATTAAGAGTCATCCTCTAGGCAGCCTCGGTCGCATTCCTTGGAGGGTTCCACCCTCAAAGAATGTCTCCCTGTCCTGCCAGGGGATTCGAGAGACGCAAGGGTCGCGACGTGTCCTCAACTTATGCGGTAGCATTATAAAATCTGTGACATATATACACGAACGTTTCGGTGGCCGGGGGGTGACCAGGGTCACGTAGTCGACTACATTTGGAAGATGTCGCTTGACACGCGGGGTGCTGCATTCCTCTCGCCGACCGACATCGCGGCTGCACCCGATGGCACGACTGCAGTCTTCGTCGTCGAGGTCGTCGACGTACTCGCCGTGGGATTCGAGGCGACAATGGCACTCGTGCTCATCGCTGCCATCTCCGAGGAACTCGACGTCGCATGCTCCTGCTGGAATAGGAATTCTATATATTCTACGTCTAGTTTAAAATACGCCTTCCATACATTACACCGGGTTATAAAACGCTTTCCTCGGAACAGGGACCACTTAAACGCCCTCCTGGACAGGGGCCAAAAGCGTGTCGTGGAGCGAGGGTCTTGGAGCCTTTATGTAAAGGGTTAACGACCCACATCTACGTGTACGCGAATACGTCCCAGAGGTCTTGGAACCATTGGAACGGTCCAATATTTTTTGCCCATTTCTTTTTCATCCATTTTATAAGTGAAACTTTTTCTGGTACGCGTAAGTTCCCCTGTTACGAAAGGGACCCGTTTTCGAAAGTGAAACGTTTCTCCTTGTTTTTAGGGATTCACTTTGGGAAGCGATGGAGATGAGGAGGACTACCTCGTTGTAGAAGAGTTCCTTTCCTTCCTGGACAGAAGGCAAGAGCTCGTCCGTGGAGTGCGGAGTCCTGGGACTCGGCGTGGGAGCTCCTTGCGACTGCTGTTGCTGGTTTTGCTGCTCTTGCTGCTCTCGCTGCTTGGCCAGTCTCAGTTCCTGAAGAGCCTGCCTCTGCTCCTTCTCGTTCCTCTCCCGTTCCAGTCTCCGGGCGCTGTAGCTCCTCGCGGAAGACGTCGAGCTATGGATCGACACCAGGCTTGGTCGACGAGAACCTGGCAAGAACAACGTCGACACGTAGACTCAACGTGGAGACTTTCGAGTCCCCCGTGCGCATACACATTGCTTATCGGGTTTCCACCCTTTTACCAAAAAGGAGAAACAGATGAAAAAAGAAAGTGGTACCCACAATAGCCCGATTGTTGCGACAAGCTACACAAAGAGGGACGAGTATACACGGGAGGTTGGCTGGACCGAGATTGGTGTACCGAATACAGGACAACGGTCACTACTGCGACGTAAAGACAAAGCGAGCTACTGGTTTCCAAAGTAGAGAGTCCCGAAGGAAACGGTCATTCGCAGAGTCGGTCGTCCAAGAAATGGTTTGACACTCGGATGTTCGGTAAACGGAAACCAACCCTCTCGACGATTACCCAGGTCGACAGAAAAGGGAACAAAGTACCTCGCGATTCCCGGGATTTTTTTCTTTTTTTTTTTTTCTCTCTCTCTCGACTTCCTCTTCGAGCACTCGACTAAGCTAGAGTCAACTAGGACTAGCAAGCAGCGATATCCGGAATCGAAGCTTCGTATCTTCGAGGCGAAATTCTCTAAGCCGATCTACTTAGCTACGTTCATTGCTTAACTTTCGTTCCTCGTGCTTGGAAACTCGAGATTTAACCAGCCGCTGCCATCTTGCTCGTCGTGTCTTGCGATAGTCCGTCCCGCGAACCTCGTCCGAGATGATACACTAACGCGAATGGACGAATGCTCTTTATCGAATCGAACTTCGGAGACTCGGAAAAATTCGACACGCTCCTACCCAATGTCTAGGCCACCCGCGCGAGGGGGAGTTTCCTTCCTTTCGTCCCCGGGTATTGGAAATTAAATTACTGGAAAATTAGTAACCCCCGGGGGGAGGTGAAAACGGGTTCCCGAGACCGGGCGAAACCCGAAGTCCAGTCGAAACCGCCCCTGGGAGCAAAGGGTTCCTGGACTTGCATTCGCAGCGCATCCCAACGGTGACGCTAAGCTCGGGGTCAACGGCTACATCACCGACAACAACAACAACAGCGGTAGCATCATCGACCACAGCGACAACAGCGTTAGCATACACCAGCGACAACAGCGCGACGACACCAGGTCGCTGTCAAGGGTCCTCCTCCCTGTCGTGGCGTATTTTCACGGTCGCGTCAGGGTCGCGTCATTGTCGTGGAGCGGAAGAATATGGCGGAAGTCGGGGGGACGTCAAGGTGTCTACCGATGCCGTCGGACGATCCCTCGGCTACGTCGCTAAGGGTACGTCGATGCCTGTTCCCGGCCTTGGTTGCTTGCAGGTGACACGAAATAAGCAAGATGGCGGCGGCTCGGGCCGCACCTGCTCGCGAGGCCGGCACCAGGGGGCCCCGACTTCCGGCGACGCTGGGCCTCCTGGACAAGGCACACGTCAGCGGACCCGCGCTCCTTTCGCTCGACCTAGAAGACGGCCTGGCGCCGTGCAGCGTCAGAGGGATACCTGAAATTTAAGATAGAATTAAAAATTAGAGCAAGACTAATGGCGGAGCTTCGCCCTTCCCTGGAGCTTAGCTTAAAAAGAGTCTCTTAAGGGGACGTCAAAGTGGCACCAATCGTTCATAAACTTTACAAGGTGAATATGGAAGGTATAAGATACGTCACCCATGAGATTTCGGTATCTTTTTTTAACTTTTAACATCTATGGAGGAATTTAAAAAAAAATGAAATTTTTTTGGGGAGGCATTCGCGTCCAACATCCCATGGACCACTCACCGGTGTCGCTGGAGAACAGCGGAGCGTGATTGGCGTTGGCATAATGGCGAGGCCTCGCGTATCGCGCCCTGCTGAACAGTTTCAGGACGAAGCATATCAGCCCCGTGAGCACGGCCAGCCCCGTCGCGACGCCGAGCAGGGTCGGGACATCCGTGGTTATCAACACCAGGTCTGTAAAAAAGGATCCAACGTCGTCAGGGTGCTCCAAAGCTCCAGGATCGCGCCCGTTCCAAGCTCATCTCCGGCGCAGTCGGTCCATGAAATGGAATACTGCAAGGCGCCCATCGGGGGCGAAGAGAGCTTACGGCCTTAAGGGCCGGTCACAGGGCACGGTCTATCTAGGGCGTCTAATCGACTCGCAGGAAACTGCCGAATGCGCTCGATATCTTGCATGCAAGAGTGCAGGGGGAGGAATCCTTATGCAATAAGGGAGAAAGGCGCTCGATAAGAACGGACGGTCGAGGCACCGAGGAAATGAGTTCCTGCCATCGCGAAACCGTTCTTATCGCGGGCCTTTAACTTCTTATCGATGTACCTTCGGCGCAGAAGATCTTCTTGCTGGGCCTCGATAAGGCCACTCGGTGGTACCCTTCCTCGCAGTCGCAGACGGCGTTGTGGCGCACCTGAGTGCAGGTGGAGTGCCGGTCCACGAAGCTGCAGGTCGCTCGGTAGAAGCACTGCTCTCCGAGCTTTCTGGCTGAAAGGCAAGTTCTCTCGAAGCAGGTACGCATTAAGTGAGGTGGCCACTTCGCGACCGAGCTACCTTGCGGAGGGTGGGGTTCGGACCCGGAAAAAGGCGAGATGGGGATGAAGGTGAACGCGTGAAGTGGCGGCGGATCGACAGGTAAATTGACAGGTAAATGGACAGGTAATCACGTGGGCAGCGTACGTACGTTTGGCACATCCCTTGGTCGGTCCCAGCCGAACGGGGTAGAACTTCTCGCACTCGCAGGTGCCCGAAGTGACGTCGCAGAAGACGTGTCGCAGCTCCGGGTTGCAGCTGAGGTCGCAGCGGGAGCCCAGGTACCGCCCTTTCTCTGCGGAATTCAGCTTTTCAGAATTTCCGGACCAAGAATTGATTTTCTTACTTTTCTACGGGAATTCCCCCCGCCATGATCTACGAGGAGCGGTCCCAATCGATACCATTCACAGGCGTCGCAGGCGTCTCCTGCACACCAACGACGTCGACCGAGCCAGAGATGGGAGCCCTTTGACCTCTGATTTTTTTTTTCAATTTTTTTTTCTCTCAGAAAAACCATCGGAGAACTCGAGAGTACTTCGGTGGGCGCCGCGACTCGACACATCCGACCGAAGGAAACCGCCGCGGAAACGCGTGGACCCGGTCGATAGACTGGGATTTTCACTTAAAAGCAAACAGAAAATCCACCTCCTATCGTCGAGGGGATATATCAAACTGACGTTTCGTTGAATGATATATACCCCGGGCGATTTCCGCGGATTCAAGCGTCGCGCCGTCCTCGCGGCGGCAATCGATGCGGAACCTCGCGGTTATGGTCGCGGAAAATACCCGAGTAAGAAACATCGGTAATAAGGCGGCCCCTGTTACACGATCGCTGGTTAAAAGAATTTCTCCCGCTCTCTTTCGGAGGATAAATCAGTGGGACGCTTTATTACGCGATGCGATTTCCGCAGGTTCGAGCATCGCGCCGACCCCCAGGGAAAAATCGATGCGGAAGACCGTACCGGAAAACACCATTCACTCTCGTAATGGAAATAAATTAACGCGGAATTTCGCGATGCATGACCCACCGCGGGGAGTTTAAAGCGAGCGATTCTTTCCCCTGCTTCAACGGAGCCTACAATGACCCCGCTCCAATTTCCATCACGCCATGGGATTTCGTTCCGAGGGTAAAACCGAGTCCATTCCCGACGTCAATGGACAAGTACGGAGGAAAGATCGCCCCAAGGTTTCTCGATGCAGGGGAAGCTGTATCCGGAAATATTTTTGATCCCGATATCGAACCAATCGCCGCGGCAACGGGATAAAGAGTCTCTTTAAGTGTTCCCCGGTCGGTACGGAGTTCCCTGATTAAGGGCATTGTTAGCATATATTAACACATACAGCACCGCCTCCCGCGTATCCGATAACGAGATTTCATTACACCGCTCGCACCCCATTCCCGGCAACGCCGATAAGGAGCCGCGACCCGGAGAACGCCAATCCCGAGATTCGGTCCCGCTCCGCCACCCTTAGGTCGCTCTTCGGGGACCTCCTCGGGTACTTGGATCCCCTTTAAATTTCCTCTAGGTATCCGAAAACATCCATTAAGAGCGTCCCGATTGTTCCGACCGGAAGTCCCGTACCTTCCGTCGCGTTTCCCTCGAGGGAGTCCTCGTCCTCGTCATCGCGGTCGTCGGGGTCGTCCCGAACACCTCCGCCGCCTTCGTCTTCGCGGTCCGGGAAGAGCTCGTCGAGGTCGTCGGGCTCGTCGGGGCGGTCCCCGTAGATGGAGCGGCCGAGGGCGGAAGGGCCGGCGTCGTCGGCGTCGTCGGCGCCGCGGGCGAGACGCGGCTTCCGCGAGGCCTCGGGCAGGGCGTAGCCGGAGCCCACCAGCAGCGCGAGGCAAGGCAACCAGCAGCAGGTCAGTCCCAGGACGAAGGGAAGTGCGCTCATCGCCCCCGCGCGCGGCGCGAGTCAACCCCCGAGAACCGCGGACCTCCGGCGGCGGCGCATCGACATTTCACGCCCCCGAGCTCCGCGCGCCCCAGCGCGCCCCGACGCCCCGCGTCGCGACGCGCATCGCGCAACGCGCATCCGGCTCTGCGCGCGAGCCACTTGGCGCGCCACTTGGCCCGCTCCCTGCTGCCGAACGCGCTGCATATCGCGAGGCCGATACTTGGCGCGGTGGGTGCACTCTGAAGAAAATATTTCATTGAATGGTCCCTAAGAAATATTTTGTTAATTCAAAGGACAATTATTTCACTCAAACTCGAATTAATTGGATATGACATTTCTTCGAATTAATTTGATATGTCATTTCTTCGAATTAATTTTATATGACATTTCTTCGAATTAATTTGATATGACATTTCTTCGAATTAATTTGATATGACATTTCTTCGAATTAACGAAATATTCCATCAGTTCGATACAATTTTAGGGCCTACGTAGGGACGACCAATTGAGAGGCTAAGACCAAGACCGAGTATAAGGCCGATTTTACTCGTCACTGTGTCGGGATTCTAGATGTGACGTTTCGTCCCGACATTGCGACACCTATCTAAGATTTCTAGCCGCTGTCGCGAGATCGCGCAAAAAGTTACATAAGTTTCAGCGAAACCCCGCGGTACTTGAGGTGTCGCGATATTTAGCTGCGTAGTACTTGGCGCGCGAGCTCTGCCCCGGTGGGGGTGACTCCACGAGTCCATCGCGTAAGAAAGGTATTGTCTGTGGGTATATGCGCCTTATCAAAAATCTACAGAGCGAGGAGAGGAGGGTCCTCGAGTATCCGGACCTCGCTCGTTCCATTTTCCTTAAATTAAACGCCTTTTAACGGGGCGACGGTGCAGCACCTTTTTATTTCGTCCACGTCGAGGGGCGGAGCGCAAGGACAGGGCTTAATGAAAATTCAGCACTTAATTTAATAGGATCGATATTGGTAGGTGTATAGCATAAGTATGTTCAACCTTATCTCGCGTCTTGCCCGGAGGCTATCAGGCTTCGCCGACCTCGAAGTTGTCGCGTCGCTCTCCAGGAATTTTCGAGGGAGGATTTATTTCGCGCCTCTCCTCCCATTTAATCCCACATCCTGGGATTTATCCTTATCGATCTTCTCATCGACGATCCCCGCTCACGTAACTCCTTCGGAGAGTCGACACTTCGGCGGCCGGGATCTCGTCGTAAAGATGTTGAGAGTCGACGTCCTGATTTTCGCGAGCTCTCCCGAGAGGAGCCGGCATGTCGTAGTGCTCCTCGAAGATCCCTAAAAAATCCTCAAAAATTATCACCGCCCTAGATCGAGCCAGGATCGATAGGTCCTTACCTCGCGCGCCATTCGGAACGCGGATGCCGATGAAAGCCGAGGACCTGGACCCGTAATTCTGGGAGAACGTGTCGAGGTCCAGGACGTGGAAAGGCGGCCCGGAGCTTGCGGCGTGTATCGGGTCGGCGTGAATTGGAGGCTCTGAAACGAAGTCAAAGGCTAAATTTAAGTCAAGGGGCAGCTTGGAAAGCAGCCATTTGAAAGGCCCTGGATACCTGGAAGAGAGCTTCCGACCACCCTCGACTGCGCCCTCCTCTCGGATGATACAACGTCGACGCGAACGCCGCTATCGAGGAGTTTCGAGCGTAGGCGAAAAATCGCCAAGATGGCCGCCGCCGCTATGACCAGGGAAACGGTGTACCCAATGACGAGGAAAATAGCAAATCGAAGAGGACCATTGGAAAACGCACCTTCGGCACCTGGAAATATGAAAATCCCCCTGAAACGTCATGAAAAATCGTCATCCCTTCCATGTACCTTTTCCAAGGGTCTTTGCGAATCCATTCTCGAATATCGAAGTCACATTGGGAGGTTTCTCCATGCCAACGTGCCGATCCTGGTTCTTACCCCTTCGCCAAAGTTCCCCGTCCAGCTGGTGACTGACGGAAGGTACGAATTCAGGCTCTGGAACCGTGTACCTGGCGCTCCCCAGAACCGTCTCTTGAGCACCTTTAACGTGACATGTTTTAATTCCTGGTCTGGGGGCACATCCGATAAATATTAACCAGGACGACCGAGGTCATAAGCGTGAATTTCTATCGAAAGAAACCAGGAGAAACTGGGGAGGAGCAGTGCTTACTCTCTACGACCCTCTCCGTCGTCTGGGTAAAGCGGTCGAAGTGGTCGAGGGTGGCTCCAGCTCGGGTGGCGTCGGAGGAGAGGAAAAGTGGCCCCTGGGGCCAAGTTGTGCCAGGAAGAGGCGTCGAAATCCCGCGGTCGAAACACTCCCCGGTCTCCGGATGGCAGCCCTGAAGAATGCGAGAATTCTCGCACACGCAGACCGACTCGCACCCTGGACCCCACCTGCCGCTCGGACATTGCCGTTCGCACCTGGAACGAGCATAGAAATCGATCCCTTTCCGGGACACCAGTGGTACTCTCGAAAGAACCGGGATTTTACTTGGGTCCTCGGAAACCAGGTGGACAGATGCACCTTCCATCCACGGGATGACACGTCCCTCCATCTCGGGCGCACTTGCACTCGTGGGCGCAGAACTTGCCCCAGGACCCTGGAGGACATTCTAAAAATCCCGATAAATCTATTATTAAATTATCATTCAAAAGTTGTAACTAAAAATTGTACAAATGTTTCGACGCTACGAAATGCCTACGGCGCACGTAATCGATACGTCATCGGCGCGTTCACCTCGAGCGATGGTCGCGGATTAACTCGGTGTCTTTACCGATGGCCGTAAAAATGTCGAAATCAACGGCGCGTCACCCTGGAGCCGAAAACGGAAAAGCTGATGGAGTTCCGTACCGCGTGGGGAATCGTTACCGCTTGACGTTAACGAGGCAATGGGGAATTAACGGGGGATAGGGGGACTCCGCTCTCTTCCCGCTCGGCAGTTAGTGCCGACTTCCTACTCTCTCCCCATGACGTCACAATCCGCAAGCGAGCCTCGTATGCCGATTTTCCCCCCGATTTTGCATAAACATTCGGCGGACCTCGCGTGTGCCCGAAAGTGGAAACAAAAGTTGGCCGGGCTTGCGCAACGACACGCCGCCCGATTTAAGAGCATGTGCCCCGAGAGAGCGGAAGCAGAAACCGGAAACCCGAGAGGCGACCGCGAAAGTTGGAACCGGCGATGGGAGGAGACATTTTCTTATTCCTTTTTTTCTCTCTTTTTTAACCGAGCAACACGAAGACTTCCTCGATCTGCGAACGATCCTTCGGCTCCGGGTAGACGAGCCGAGTTTGGAACGATTCCTCCTCCCGGGTTCCGAGATAAACAGGAAACTGCAATGTCGGTAACCCCGCGCGCCTTTAATTTAACCTCTCGGCGGTCCCCTTATCGTCGAGGGCCCGAATGCCGGGGATCGTTACATCCCAGTTTGGTGACTCTCTCCATCTGGAAATCGACATCTTCGGTAACGAGCGCACTTGTATGCACCCGAAAACCTCGTCCTGTCGCGCCGGTACGGCAGGGTCGTGGAAAGTCCTCGCGAAAGTTTCGGCGCGGTATCCGACTTCCGGGTAGCTCGCTTTCGAAATGTTCCCGAGCGTTGACGCAACTCGAGGCGCGTCCCCGCGTGCGTGTAAGTACGTAGGCGCAATGCTTCGAAACCGGTTTAACATCGATACGACGAAACGCGACAATCTTACGAAAAAGTGAGGCGCTGCTATTGTGCCGTAAGCAATGTCCAGCACCCTCTGATAATGGGACAACTCGATCGTTACGATAACCGGAAGCTACAAATGTACACCGAGGACAAAAATTCATCGGACCAGCGAAACGTATTTTTAATTCGAAGAATAATTATTTCTACAAATCCGCATCCAATTTATTTGATTTATTCTTTAAATTGCCAAAATATTTCTCTGGTTCAATGAAATTATTTATTTATTTCTTTTTTTTTTTTTCAATGTACTGACGCGTTTTTTGACGACCCCTCGACGTGTCACACTCGGTGCGTCCTCTTCGCGCCTAAAAATTTGTAATTGCAGGGTCTGCTATATCTGCACTCACCAGGTGCACGTTTCGGCACCGGGCCAGGGTGCCATGCCAGGCGACCCTCCCTCTCATAATCAGCCTTTTAATTATCCCTTCTTAAACGCGATTATGGGCAAAGGTTATCAAGTTGGCACCGCGAGGTGGCATCGCGCCAACAGTCGCACGAGAGACGCACCAGGAGGGCTCGGCCACTTTTCCTGGCAGCGCTTCCGGCGATTTGGCAAAATCCCGAAAAAATGGCCAATATGCTCACCATAGGCACAGTCGTCCCCCTGGAAGCCGGGATCGCATTGGCATTTCTCGGGGGAGACGCAAACCCCCATCTTGCAGTTGGTACAGAAGGGGACGCACTTCGCCTCGGCGCCGGCGTCGCCGTGCAATTCCTGCATGGTGTACCCCTCGCAGCACTCCGACCTGTTGGCGTGCCTCAGCTCGCTCTACGATGGAAAAGAAAAGATTATTTATACGAATTATTGCGAAACGAGGGCCGATTGTGATCGGCACGGACGAAGTGGGACTCGAGTCGATCTGAATTTAATGATCGGATCCGACTCGGTGATTTCTAACGAGGCTCGGCCGAGTTGCACAAATCGTTTGCAACGGGTCGAATGCAAATTACTGGCGAAATGTCGGGTCGACAATTTTTCTCACCTTTATCCGATATCTGAGTCTGGATTCGGCTCGGGTCCTCGGGCACAAGGGGGGCATCTGGAAACACCAGGTAAACGTGCGCACCATGACCTGCTCCGTGTAGGTCTCCTTCGTGGTCACCGTGTAGCTGGGGACAAAAAGTCGGAAATCGAGTCGGTACCTTTTTGCTAGCCGCCGTGAATGGTTAAAAGGAATTGTCGAATAATTGCACGTGCGGGATAATTGTGCAAAATGAGAAAAGTGCGGTTCATCGGGGGGGCGAGTCGGCGACTTCCTTGCCGGCTTTCAGCGCTCGCGATTGCGACACTTGCTTCGATCCAGAGACAACGAGGACGAGGGTGCGCGATTACCGACTTCCGGCTGTGGGATAAAATAAAAGGCGCCGCGCTGCGTTTTAAAATACGAGGACAATCGAGGCGGGTTGCGACCTCGCAAATGGCTGAACAAACGAGAGGCACCATCCTCTTCTTTCTTGCCGAGAGGATTTTCATGATCTTGCAGGTATTAAAATTTATACCAGGGTGTTACGACGAAGAGTACTCACTTTTTCGTGCGAATGCACACGTGGTCTCCCGTCAGGGCCGATAACGGTGGCAGTGATAAGGCTATCATCACCAGCACCGAGGTACCAGAAATCTGGCGCAGCATCCGGCACGGGTCCAGCGTCCCCATGACGCGATGGGAGATTTCCCAAGATTTTAGAGAATTACGAGTTGACAAAAACCGACGAGGACCTCCCATCGTCGATCCGTCACGAGGACGAAGACCTCGAAGAGGCGTCCTCGTCGACGTCAGAAACGTTCCCCATCTCGCAGTATCCCTCTCGACCTCGAAAGTCGAGCAATTGCGGAACGGAAAATTAGTCGCAGGAGGTAAAGACGGAACTTCACCTGCCCTGGGGTAAAATAGGGCACGGTACACTTTTCCCGGCTTTTTACGAGTTTCCGAAATGCTCGAAAAGTTACCTCACCCAAACTAGTAAATATTCCACGGGGAATGTTCATGAGGTGGAAAAGAAAAAAAATGAAAAAAAAAAAGAATGGAAACGCGATTTACACAGAAAGCGGTGCAGTGGGTTGATTTTTAAAGAGAGTCAATTCGTCACGGTGACTTGGCGCTCTCTAAAAATTCCATGAAATTGGAGTAACGTAATTAGATAGTTTTACACCACTGATCGCAGCCCGGCGCAATTACAAGTCCGCGGACGAGGAACCGTGCAGGAAGTTGACGATACAGTGGCACTCCGTTAACGTCGATAACCGTCGTCGAATAACGTTGTCGAAGAATTCTTGTAACGAGACCCCCTCTAAATGATAGACACGAGGTGTCTCGTTCGAATTCGTTATTAACATTTGCGATCGAGCCGTCCGCGGCATAAGCGCTGCGAAATTATTAGCTTGGGTCTCGTAACATCTCGAAAAGTAGAACTTTCCGCGTAGAGAAATTCCATCGCGGCACTCTACACCTCGTTGCACGTTTTTTTTTTCTTAAAAATTAAATTTTACACGATTTTTTCAGTTACTACATGCCCCTTCACGTATGCAGCAGCACTCCTAGATGCGCGTGGGCGTTCTAATAAAATGAAATATTAACTTTCGATATAGATTTATGGCACTTGTCACTGGTCAGTGGTCACGTATGAAGAGCGATACGATAATGTCGCAGAATCGGTCGCGTCGGACTGCTACCGCATCCCTACGTACATACGTACGTACGTGCACATACGCATCGATACATACACTTAGACCAAACATGTCTCGAATTACCCTCCCCTACGCCAATCGGAATGCACGTCCCATTATTCCTGCCTCGTGAATGGCAACGAAAACGTCTGATCCTTAATTAAAAAAATAATTAATTAGGAAGAATTTTTAAAAACCGATAATTCTAACAAAATGGCAAATAAACTGCACGAGTAAAAACATGGCTATTATATTTCTCGGCATACCTATACATCTTAAACCACTCTCATTATACCTCTCGTTTACAGTGGCAACTAAGTAGTTGAAACGTGACTTTGTTTTTTATCTCTTCTTACGAAATTGAGTGACTAATTTTGAGCGATCTCGTAGGCGGATCCAGCGGCCTTTCACGTCACCTTGAGGACAGCGTCGCGGAATTCTCTCAGAATCGGGAAAGAATTCCGTAGGAAAAAGACCGCAAGAATAAATGTACCCGTGGTTCTCTCGACGGGGAATAATCGGGCATCTCTATTGTCACGACGAAAGCTGGGAGGATGATTGGATGATCGTTCCGGATGCTCTCAGGCCGTTCGCCCGGTTGGCCCTTCAAGAGCAAAGTGCCGGCTTGCAGTTGAAACCTTCAATTTGTCGTGTCTATCTACAATGTACGAATTAAACCTAACGCCGGACTCGCGCTTCTGCACGATGAAGAGGGAAAGTCTAAGTTTCCACGGTGGAGTCGCAAGGTGGAGGCCCGCTATGGAAAAATGCCGTCACGGTGGATAAAAAGCGCAAAGTGGTGTAAACAGGGAAAATTAAGTGTTCACCATAAGCGTGGAAGACGCGCATTAAACGAGAACGTACGCTCTCACGAGCGGCTGGCGGTGTACACGTAATTATATAATGCCTCGAACGGGAGATTACATGCATTTAACGGTGTGCACCGTGAATGCACACGGGGGCGCTCGACTTTGTATGTAAATATAAGGTTATTGCGCGAGTAAATGGATAATCGTGCACGTGCATTAATGCATTAAAAGTCGGGCCGTAGCGCCTTATGATCACGTGATGGGCGCGACGAATCCTCGGATGACACGGTGGACACGTAGAATTCCCGGGGTACATATCGCTATTTCTTTTTTTCTTTTCAGAATTTCTCTAAAGTATCGATAGAAGGGCGATGGAGAGAGTCGAGATGGCCAGGACGATCTTCTGCACCCTCCCGAAGAGGTTCGACGCGGAGTTGTAGAAGCCGCCCCCGAAGATTTGCAGACCCGCCGTTTGGATGCTCCTCTTGCAATAATCGCCGTCTGCAAGTGAACAAGGCCCTAGTATTTATGATCGTACTTATGGACACCAGTGCCTAGAAAAACTGGAACGAGCACAAGGGAAAGGAGGTACCGAGGAGTGACGCGCCGTTACAAAACCCTCCGTTGTTCGCTGACCTTGGCCCGACTGCTCTGCCGAGCTTTTTGCTATTTCCCTATGATGAATAGGATTTTTCTTCCCTGATAAGCCATGGGGTATGCTTACCGTAGGACCAGCCGGCGATTTCGCCGGTTCTCAGGTTCTCAGCCCTCAGCCAGTCCTCCAGAGGTCTGAAATACTCCCGCAAGGCCTCCCCGTCGAGCCTGGTTTCGCCAGTCGCATCTTGCAGAGTCTCCTGCCACTGCAACGAGGATCCTTTCTCCATCAGCCTCCTGCGATCAGGGCGAAAGGAAAATAAACGACGAGTAACCGTGCGGTAATCGGACGGTAAATGCTCGGATCCGAGCACCGTGCAAGGCCGAGTTCTGCCCACGACTTGCGTCGGAACACGGGGCTCCTTTTTTCAGACGCGTTACATAACACGGACGTTTCCCATTCGAGAAAGGGAGAAAACGTAACACGGCGCCGACCATCCCAGAAGTGAAACCGCACTCCCCAGGAAGGTCCTAAAATAAATTCCAGGAAGTCCTCGCGCGACTCCGAGGACTCCTCGACCCTGCCGAGGGTGGACGGGATTTCTTATGTTTTCGCCAGACCCACGGTAAATAACCCAGTCGATAAACTGTACCAAGATGCCAGACAGGACCCAAGATGCCACCGACCCAAAAAGGAGGCTGCGACCAGAGGACGTCCTAATATGAATTCCGAGAAGTCCTTGGGAGATTTCGGAGCCATTTTGCTCGTGTTACCCCTAGAAGACGGATGTCGGGAGGAACTATTTTTTGGGATGATCCCGAAAATAGTTCGCCCGGCAAAACGTCACCTAGGAGACAACAAAGACGGATCCGCCGAGACGAGCCTTATTTACGCCGCTTCGGTCGGGGTCGAATTAAAAAAGTTGGAATTCACGGGTGATCTTTCCCGACCAAATGGCGATTCCGGTTGGCTCAATAAATGGGCAAAAAACGATTCGAAACTTTTATCCAGTTAGTTTTCTGTTTTCGTCAGGCCTCCGATTTGGGTGGACGAGTCGTCCTGACATTTGCCGGCGAAATGTCAATGTCGGCCAGGACGGCGGTTATTCCGCGGTTAAAATTAAAAATGCGCGGTCCTAATTGGGATGTCCTGTCCTCTCAGGATCCTCTAGGTGCTCTTGACACGAATAGACATCCGACTGCACGTAGATGTCCGCCCATTTTCCTCGGAATCGAAGTCATACTCCCGCAAACGCTCGTCGATAGTCGAGGAAGGCGATTAAGACGTCTCGGGCGGCCAATTTGTACGCGTAATGTGACATAATGTTTCATAACGATGCCCCTACGAATTCCTGGGCCTAATTTAATTGCCGGTGCCCGAGGGGACCTCATACCAGGGCGCCTATCCGATCCAACTTTCTCTCTCCGAGGAATAGCTCTCTAGCCTCGTCTTATTTCAGGAATCCGAGCGATTTCCCCGAAAGTGAAGTGCGGATCGATGGCGGCCTAAACCAGGTTTGCCTAAAATACACGCACTCTAGGTGTAATTACCGCGATATCAAATGGCACAGGGCCAAGAAGCGGCCGCTCGATAATGCCGAAAAGGAGGCAACATCGAGAAAGAAATGATTAATCCGAAAGAATTCCCTAGCCGATTAATTCCTAGAGAGGAACCGAACCGGTCCTCCAGGAGGCAAGGCTGCGTGCTGCTCCAACTTCGATTAAAATATCCTGGCATAATTACCTCAAGATCGACCAGCACCCACTGAAATGGGACGTCAAGATGGATGATAATGATTTCGCATTTGCGTATTCTGTGAGCGTTAATGGACGGTCGTAATAGTTGCAGAATCCCGATAACTGGGAGTGGTACACCGTGGCTCCTATTTTTAGCCGGAGTCACGTACAGAGATAGTCCTCCTGAATAAGGCTGGTAACACTGACCCAGATCCTTTCGCCTTCTCGGATTTTTTACGGTTTTCCATTATTTTCCAGATTTTTATTTTTTTCTCAACATAGGCGAATCAAAGTGTAACGAGTTGCAGGACTCTCCCTCTCTCCCCGTATTCTCGGGCGGAATAAATCTAACACGACAACCGTGTTCGCCGATTGTTGCCTTCCCACGAACACGAAGCAGGGCTTGTCGAGAGAACGAGGTTGGATCTAGGGACCCTAGACTATCCTAACGCTCTCACGTCAAGTTACATTGGACGAGCCGACTGCTTTCCTGACGCAACGGCCGATTGCAAGAAACTCCGCACCGGATTCAGCATCGAGGTTGCCGACGCAACGGTGCAGCACGTAGGATCGCCTGTAACGCCGGTAATCCCGTAATTTTGCCGAAGTAATCATCTCAAGTGTCGTAAAGAAAAAAAAAAGAAGATAAATAACGAGAGCTCGGTACGAAGGAAAGTCCAGGCAACGATTTTCCGCCGCAATTAATTTCCATTAATACGCGCTCGATGAAGGGAGGCTAATTGGTGGTCTCGGTAGGAATGATTAATTGGCGGACATTCGGTTCCCAGCGATACTCGGTGGGTAGAAAAATGCTAATTGACCCGGGTGAAAAAGCCGGCGACAGGCCTCAAAGGGTGGAAGAAAGCCCGCAAATAACCGGCGGGTAAAGGGGGTAAAATCGAGCGGTCGTTTCAGAAACAATGCGCGGTTAGCAGGTTTTGTCGTCCACCTGTGAATTAGTCGCGCGACCTGTGCGGACTCGAGGGACGTTATGCAAGCTCCCGAGCGCCGATGATTTCCTTTCGAGAAATCGAGAAATTCACCCTGAAACTGCCGACTCGCCCACCATTTAATCCGCGAGTCGACCCTATTTGGCGATTTTACGCAGATCGGCTGCAATCTCTTGACCCCACACCCGGAGAAACCGAATCGAGAGGCGCTCTCGAAGCACCTCCCGTCCCCCCACGTGACTCATATCGAGATTCCACGAAACCAGCCATAAATTCTGCGAACGGAATCTATTAAAAAGGACCATTGCGTAAGTTCCGCGTCTCCGACTTCAATAACACAGTCGATAGGCCGACATTAAGTACACTTGGAGGCGCTTTTCGGAGCCGATAGTACGTTCGGCCATCGCGGCGTTATTTCCTCAAGATTGCGACATTCCGACGAAGATTTCCTACCAGGCGAAACCCGGTTTCGCAAAGGACATCTCATCGGCGATTTACCTAACGAGCCCCGCGAGGATTTCGAGGTCTCGCTAATGGATTGCGGAAGATTTCGACAGGCAATTGGACTAGTTCTGCGTACTACCGACACGTAAGGCACAGCTTGAGAAAGTTACGCCGATACGTGAATATAGCCTTCGCGTGGCGACCGCAGGTGCGCACCAATTTATGAATCTCATAATTTCCGGTCTGCCCCGGCGAAATCGGTACTTTCCTGTCTGCAGCCAGGTAACCGTTACCCAGGTAAACGCGTCGTTAACGCGGGATGCTGCCGCCAGGTATCTCGTGTCGCGTTTCGTTGTGTCGCGTCTCGTTGCGTCGCCGCAGATTACGCGTCGCGTAAGAGCGAGTCACGTTACGATCATCGACCCGCAGGTGTATTCTCGCGCGACCGTAGAAAATCGCCGGACGGACGGGAGGCCCTAGAGATATCGCAAAAAATCAAGCAAAAAGCGAGGTGTAAATCGTTCCCAGTGTCGGTAGGAGAAAAAGGAAGGAAAAAAGAAATACGTCGAACCGCAATTAAGTGGGTGAAACGACATTAGTCTCGTTAGAAACGGACCGAGATTAGCGGTTTAGTCCCTCCACGCCGCAGTGACGAGTTTCTCTGTTTCTCTCCTAGGATTTATGAATCGAGACGACGCGTTAGTCGGCCACTCGTCAGATCGAGACCCCCCGCGATCCGTGTTGTGAAAGGTGAAATCCACGGGGTTAAAACCCGAACAATTCGGCATCTCTTGCGAGAATCGAATGATCGATCGACCACTGACCCATCGAGTCCTGATCTTTCTCCGAAATGCTACTCTTGCGACACCTTACCGGCCCATATTTCAGAGTATTAAGTTTCAGAATCCCGTGGAATTACCATTCCCCTCGATGCACGCCTAGACGCAAGGTAATCTTGTCCATCCTTTTGGAATGTGCGAGGGGAATTATGCAAACGCGGTTATGCCGGCATTTTGCCAACGAGAGTGCGAGCCGTAATCCACTGCACACGCGATGGCCGGCACTAATCGGGATAAGAAACTGAACCCGTGATGCAGGAACTGGAAAGTCTGAAAACCGTGATTAAACGAAAGAAAAAAAAAAGAAAAAAGTAACCCGAGCCATTTTCCTTCCCCCAAGTGGCAAGGATTCATTGTGTAACCCTTCGAGATGGAATTTTTCAGGGAGCTCGGATTCGCGAGAGGATATGAAAAATATCACGGTGCTTCTTTCGCCCCAGATATTCGTCTGAAGGATCGTAAAAGGACACGAAGGAAGGTCCCTTTTGCTTTCGCTCCAGTTAGACCCCTGGATCGGGGTGCTCCCGTGACAAAGCGGAGTATAGCAGCGAAAGGCAGTGCCGTTATTAATTACGTAAGTGGAGCAGGCTGCAGGAACCGTTACCAAGGTGGTTCGCCGGTCTGCACGATCGTAATCCATCGAAGGCTCGTCCCGTCCCCGGTTCCGTAACGTCCCGTTCCGTTCCGTTACAGTTTCGCCTAGGGCCGTCGAGACCGGGGACCGATTTGACAAAAACCGCCGATCGGCGAAAGGGAAGATATTCCCCCAGGGGTGCCTCAATTGACCTTCCGCCATCGAGATTGGGAGAAGGAAAGTCTTCCCTTGGGGAAGAGATTCCAAATTTCGGGAAGTCTAATCGGGTAAGCGTCCTTGCGACGTCCGAAAGCGACACGGAACGGACAACACGTAACGGAAGTGGCCGACCTGGTGGGAAAGTTACCTGCACCGCTAGGTACCATCGACATAACGAGTTCCTTTCCTTGCCTCTTCTCCTGCTGACACACTGACCGGCGCCATGAGTAAATATTACGCAAATGCAAGTTAGGATAGCGCGGGTACGCAATTTAGATCCGGACACCACTAGGCGAGGTTGCGCAACCTGCGCCAGGATGACATTGGAAGTCTGCAGGTTATCGGGTCGGTCTTAAACCTCTGAAAAAAAAAAAAAAAATGCCCAACTCACCCCAGCACCCTGCCAGCTTCGGGACTCCTGTAGAAGTCGCACTTATGGAGCGGCCTCCTGGCGATGTCCGGATACCTCTGACTCGCGGCTCGGCAGAGAGACCTGAAGAGCTGGAACTGCAGCACCCCGGCGACGAAGTTCCTGAAATAAATCCTCTCTCATCAGACCCGTCTTCGTCTCAACCTCCCGCAATTTATTTCCTTTTTTCCCACACCTTATCGCGTATGGAAACGAAACGTCATTAATCCTCCGCAAAGCCTTCATCGTGGAGCATTCATGATTCTGACGTATAAAAGATTTCCCTCTAATTTCTATAAATGCTTTTTTCATTTTTCTACGCGACATGAGTCGAAATCAGACTCATCAGCCTCGTTATCGCCTCGATCTCGCTCCGTGCACGGGTCGTGGGTTTATAATAATTTTTCCACACCGCGTCGTGGAAAAACGCACGTCTTCCCAGAGCGCGGCGTCGCGTAAGAAGTTGCGTGCCGAGCGCTCGCCTCTTACGCACCGCCATGGGTTGGCGTCCTTTACGTAACCGGCTCCGATGTTTCCCCTGAAATTACGGCACGTCGTCTCCTGGCCGGGGCAACTTTCAACGAGAGGAGGACCCTATCCACGTATTCGGGAGCACAAGGACCGGAGGTGGGCGGCAACGAGTCCGCCGTGGGGATTTCGCGAAGTCGGGGATCGCGTTCGAGAGTAAAAGTCGAGGAGGAGAAGGAAACGGCCGAGGGTGGCGGAGGCCCCCCTCGAAAGACGTAAAAAAGAAATTGGTCAAGCCATACCCATGTATTTCCCTCCTAATAGACTATCGCAGCAATCAATCCACCTTCAAATTAGGTAATAAGGAAAGATGGTTCGATCGATAGGATCTCATGCTCGGCCTTGATCACTTAAACGATCGGTAGATCCGCTCGTCCGATGTGGTCTACCCAAAAACCACGAACAGCCTGAATTACCAACTTATGAATAACCATGCCCGAGGGAGTTGTTTTCTAGCGCGAAGAATCGATACCGTTGATAACGAAATATTTACCCAGCGAGGACGGAATCATCGTTCGAATTAATTGCAATTACCCTGAATGTAACGAGGGGCGAAATTCCCCATGTACCAGGGTATCTGGGGGGTGCATTCCCCGGAACTGAAAATATTCGACCCTAGGGTAAGGCATGTGAGTTCATGGCGATTAACGATCGGTCGTGGAGTAAATAATAATTAGGGGACGATCAAACGACACGTTAGGCTCACGGGCGATGGACACCTCCCGGAGGGAGCGGCGGTGCGTAATGGGTAGGATCATAACCAGAGAGAGTACCGACAAACCTACCGGTAGGTAGGTAAGTAGGTACGAAGGTATGTACCAACCGCCTGCCGGTATCTCTTGGAGGGACGGCCGTTCTGGGATGGTGGGACCCGCGCGACCCGCGGTCCACCATCCGCGGACAAAGAACGTGGGGATACCGGGACTCGGGGCTCGTGCGAAGGCGAAAGTGTGCCGCGTATATAAGGCCCGGAACAGACAGCAATCAGCATCCACTTCACTCCTGGGCTGATCCGGAACGATCGCGAACGTAAAAATGAGGAGTCCGGTAGGTCGAATGGAAGAAGCCCCACCGGGCGAGGCGCGGCCGTTCCGCGCGGAGCGGCCGGCATCCTTTCGCGTGCTTTTGACCGTATCGTTTTTCAGGGGTACGCGGTACTGCTCGGGCTGGCCGTGTTGGCGACGCTGGCATGGGCGGAGGACGCCAAGACGCCGGCCGTGGAAGACGCATCGTCGACGAAGAACGCGGATTCCGCATCCTCGGAATCCTCCGGAGACTCTAAGAAGCAGGAGAAACGCGGCCTCCTGGGGCTGGGCTACGGCTACGGCTACGACGTCGGCGGCTACGACATCGGCAGCGGCGGCCACGGAGGTCTGGAGCTCAACGGGGGAGCCTACAGCAACCTGAATGGATATGCAGGATACGGAGGGTACGGAGGGTACGAAGGCTACGGCGGGTACGGAGGGTACGAGGGCCACGGCGGAGAGGCGCACCACGTGTCGAAGACGGTGACCATCGTGAAGAACGTGGCGGTGCCCTACCCCGTAGAAAAGAGGATCCCCTACCCGGTGGAGAAACACATCCCGGTGCCCGTCAAGGTCCCGGTGCCGCAGCCCTACCCGGTGGAGAAGCAGGTGCCGGTGCCCGTGAAGGTGTACGTGAAGGTGCCCGTCCACGTGCCCCAGCCCTACCCGGTGGAGAAGAAGGTGCCCTACCCGGTGCACGTGCCAGTGGACAGGCCCTATCCCGTCAAGGTGCTGGTACCCCAGCCCTACCCAGTGGAGAAGCACGTGCCGTACCCGGTGAAGGTCCCCGTGCCGCAGCCCTACCCTGTCGAGAAGCACATCCCCGTGCCCGTCAAGGTCCCGGTCCACGTGCCGCAGCCCTACCCAGTGGAGAAGCCCGTGCCCTACATCGTGAAGGTGCCCGTCGACCGACCCTACCCGGTCCCGGTGCCCAAGCCCTACCCGGTCACGGTGGACAAACCCGTGCCCTACGCCGTCGAGAAGCCCGTGCCCTATCCCGTGAAGGTCCCGGTCGACAGGCCCTATCCGGTGCACGTCGAGAAGCAGGTCCCGGTCCCGGTCAAGGTCCCGGTGCCTCAGCCCTACCCCGTCGAGAAACTCGTGCCCTATCCCGTCGCGAAACCGGTGCCCTATGCCGTTAAGGTGCCCGTCGACCGACCCTACCCCGTCCACGTCGAGAAGCACGTGCCCGTGCACATCGAGAAGCATGTGCCCTATCCGGTCAAGGTACCCGTCGCCGTCCCCGTTCATGGACATCACGAGGGTAACGGCTACAACGGCGGATACAACGGCGGATACAACGGCGGATACAACGGCGGATACAATGGCGGATACAACGGCGGCTACAACGGCGGCTACAATGGTGCCTACAACGGTGGGTACCATTACGAAGCCGGACACGGTGGACACTATTAAGGAACGAGTCGACCTCGACCAACATGCAGAGGCCACGTCTAGGGTCGACGCTTCCGTCGCGATCGCCCTTCCTCGGCTTTCGGTTCCGCTGGACCCTTCGCCACCCCCTGGAGCTGGTGAACCCCCCGAAACGGCGTCTTCCCCCAAGAAGAGCTGACTCCAGCTCGAAGATGCCGTTTCCATCCTCGGTTTTACCCATCTCTGGGATCTCGTAACGGATGGCGTTTGTTTCACCACCGACTGCGGTATTTTGTACCTGCCCCCTGTATCCCCGTTTTTTTACTCGAGTTTGATCTATAATGTAAACGTTGTTACACTTACCTCACGTAAGAATGGTAAGACCGTCTTTTTTACAACCGTGTAAACCCGTTCACGGGTTAATCAGAGTTTAAGAGCGTACCCAAGCGATCCGTTGACGGAAAGCCGAGGTTCCTCATCGTTCGTTGCGATGTCAGGACCTTTGAAACCCGGCCTTTGGACGGCAGCATCGAATTCGGGGAGATCCCTTCTTTGAGAACGAAGGAATCGTTCTCCATGACCGGGACCCTGTCCCTCAGGTACCACGTTGTGTACAGTATTGTGAATTTTCATACGTAGATTAATAAAACGCAGAACAACCATCCTTGCATTCGTCTCTCGGTAGCGTTACCTCGATTTAAAATTCCCGCCGTTTGGCCGCGCCACCAAAAGGGGATCGGTAAAACATCACCGAGCGATCTGTTCTACAAACTTGTGGCGCCATCTTGCGAGTTCCACTAAAACTGCTACATCGCGATCGAGGGACGCGGGAACCGACAAAGCTAACTCTATTTCACGGCAGAAATCGAGCATCCTCCTTGATTTTACCGAATAATTTAGCGTGGCTATTGGAAGATCGCTCCTACCAAAAATTACGGCTCCCTAGTGGAGGAAGACGCTCCACTTGTCGCCGCCATTTTAAAAGCCATACATGTGAAGCTCGTGATACGATGAAAGTAACTCTGAAAAATCGTGCGGGGGAATTTTTCATATCATCGGTTCCATGTTCCTGAGGTTAAATGTGGTGTCACCACATCGCGAAGAGTCGCAACGATCGCGGTAAAGCATTCATAGAAGGTCTTGGACTTCTTCCAGGTTCGATGAGGCCTGTTCGAAGATCTAGACGCGAGTGACGATCGGATCCTCCACTCGGTATGGAGGAAAGACAGTGAAAGTGCAGAGAGGAAGGGAGAAAGCGAAGGAGGGACGGAAGCGCGATCGCTCGAGTGTGGGGCAGACTTCCTTTCTTCGTCCACTTCGTCCACCTCTTTCAAAAGGAGTCACTTAGAGCCGAGAAATTGCCCGAGCGTGAATGCTCGGGTAATTAGCCCTGTCGGTAAAGTCGTCACGCTCGAGGGCGGTCCATATTGCAAACGACCCTCTCGCACGATATTCCCCAATTCGATTTCAACGAATTCCAAGATTTCGAGAGTTAAACCGACTTCTGGGACTCGCCGACGCGTTGCCAGAATTCCCGAGGCCAATATTGCGTTACTATTCCGCATTCCTTTACAGGGTGGAACACCTTAAGAACACTGGAACGACGCCGAGTCCCCGCGGTCACCCATCCGGACGCCGGCCGTGCAGACGGACGCTTAACTTGGAGAACACCTCGACCGCCTCGCAGGAAATGAGAGTCGGCCGACTACCGGCGCGTTTAAAAGTCGTTGGCAAGCGAGAGGAATGCAGCCACCGGGGGATAATCTCTCTCTTTCCGACAGATTCTGATCCACCCGAGTGCCGGTCCCCCCCAACTAATTGCATCTCGTCAGGAAAAAAGAAAAAGAACGAGCCAGCCCTGCCTTGCGTGAGCGAACTTTCCTGCCATTCCTGGGTAACGTGTCTGGGCGTTTAATGGTATCGAATCAACATAGATCTTTCCAATCCTCGCAGGATTGACACCATCGACAGGCTATTACTATACGTCGGGATTATTGCAATTACCTCTGGTGTCCAGAGATGCCGCATTAGAGGACCATTGTCGCGTCTCGGAGTATCAACGTCCTGAGGAAAGTGAAACCTCCTGAATCTCGGGAATCAAGAGGAAACGTCGCCGGAAAGGATGAAAAATGGAAGGAAGGTACGGCTGGTACAGAGAGCTCTGGCTCGAGTTTTACGATTGCTTAGAAAGCAAAG